ATGAACCGGAATGAATTCATTGTAGATACGGCGACCGTCGCAGGTGAACCCCGCTGCGAAACATTTCGCTGTCTCCCGAAGCTCAGCTTAAGCTGGACTCATCTACTTCTATGGAGTAATCGCATTCCTTTAGCGCTACCTCCAGATAACTGATTGATGTGCTTACCCATAATTGTGTTCACTTTAGCCGGATGCGAATTTCATTACTTTCCATATTCCCCGGATATCAGTAATTCGATCTGCTCTCTAATACGTCCAGACATATAACGGGCTTATTGGTCTCATTCATCTTTAATGGCTAATACGGGCCGGGACGTGGGTTCGATGTAAATTTTGGCGTAGTAGACCTTGTCGGAGTATCAAACCCGAGTTCTCTTATGTAAACGTCCTAATAAACGTAAAAATGTCTTTGAATTTATTACAGTATTTTGGCGCAAATAAGTCTTATTAAAAATACAATCATAAAATATGTGGATGGTCGTTATTTAGTGGCTTCGCAGCAGGCGTAGCTCGGCGTAGCAGCATTCTACGAGAATATAGAACATTAAAATCCGCATTCAATGGCGTTTTTATAATAGTTCTGTCCTTTTTACACTATTTTTTATATAATACAATTGAAAGAGACAATACCTATTTCACTATGTTTTCAAATTATTAAATTTAGTAGTTTTATTATTACACTTGTCTTTACGAGGCACTTACGAACCTAAGCTTCACTTTCATAATAGTTCAAGTCCCCAGTGTACGCTATAAACAGTTCACTGTGTAAGATTAGTTATTTAACTCGTTATGGTGTATACGAAGCTTTTTTTCTTAGTTTTTAATACACTGTGTGTATGGCGCCTAGTTGTCTATCATTGTAATATATAAAAAATATAATTGCCTTATTTCGCCAATATAACAAGCACAAATTTAAATAAAAATACTTAAAATGATATGTAAAACAAGAATAACAAGAACAATATTAAAATATACTAAAAGTGACGTAATGCACCGTTACAGCGTACTAAAACATTTGTATTTGAAGTAAATTGCTATAAAAACTGTATACGAAAGATAGAACGCAAGATTCGATTTGTCGTTTGCGATCGGCTGCAAGTTTTAATTGAATCCTCACCGCAAGGAAATTAATCAGACGATCCGACTGCTACTTTCCGCAATCTACCTCCTGTCTTCGCCTGTCTCTGACCTAATATAATCAAAGATCCAGCAACAACCATTTTCTGAGGAATTCTATCAAATACCGACAATAGTTACCTTATCAAAGTCTCGTAGAATCGATATATTTACAAGATATTCGATCGTCTTGGTAAAAGTGACCGAAAGCGGCCCTAATATACAATATGTAATAGCTGCTTGACATGATCTTACAATTAAAAGGTGATATGACTATGAAGAAATTGCCTTAGTTATATATAATCAAACATTACATATTTAATCTAAAAAAATGTTATTAGAAAAAATAGATCCTAGATATAACTTTCAATTCATATAAACCATCATATTATACATTATTATGTGAACATTATAGAGATGAAAGAAATTATTATGATGAGTGTACGCCGTTAGGAGTTCACGTCGTTGCTTGGCGAACGCCCGCCGAGGTGTAGTGCGCAGAGCGGGCGCGGCTGGGCCGTTTAGGGCGGGCGAGGGCGGGCGGCGGTATTCAGTCGGCCCGGAGCGCGCTGAGCGGCGGCCGTAAGCCTCGCGAACATGTACTGACACACGCCACGCGTCACGTCGCGCAGTGAACTGTGACTCTGTGACTAACACCTTGGGATTATGCTGCTGCTCTGACCTTGTTGCAAGCTCCACGCGACATTAGGGTTAGTACCCGCTCATCCTGCTTAGTGCGCTTCGTTGCACAACCCTGGGCTCGCGCGACCACGTACTCAATCTTCTTTGAGAACCTAAGACGTAGAAATGTGCCCCGATTCTAGAAATTAAAACAATTATCTCTAAAAAGAATTGAATATTTATTTTAAAAAATGTGATATAGAAATAGAGTTAAATTCTTCACGTTATAATAAGGGTATCATAATTAGTAAAATTAAAATTATACCTTATAATAAAGCCCCTCAAGTATCCTTCAGTCATATAGTTTGACACTTTTCGGTTCTCTGCTCTTATTCAGGTAAGCGTTAGGGTGAATGGCCTAACTCGTCCAGACTTATATAGTTTAGTACTTAACACTTGGTATTCCCTAATCTGGTCCAAATAACTAATGTATTTGGTCAGTGTTTAAAGTACAATCATTCTTTCATCACAAGCATGTTTGTCATTTAATTTTCATCATCACGATATTTGGGTAAAATCAGACAAAATTCAACATAACATTAGCGCTTTTTTATCTATACAGATAAACTATACGGTTAGCTCTATTTCAATACGAGGTTCAGATTTTCTAATATCCAAAACAAAGAATAGATCACTAGACGGATTGAATATTTATACTTATAGATATGAGAAAAAGAAAAAGAAATATTGGGCGTCAGCTTGCTGAATAATTTTCATTAACAGCATAGTTGCAGCGTAAATTTGTGAATATGCTGCTAATTTTTAGCATAACCTGTTCGTTTATTAGTACGCTCACATGACTATTTGATGTTTGAAAACTTTCACATAGTTTTCTATATATACATTAAAAATTCTCTTCAGTTTGAAAAAAATATCCAGGCGGGGATTCGAAACGACATCCATAGATAGCGTTTCTGCTCCAGCTGCTGTGTCGTTAATTTTGTCAATCAAAATACATCTTTTAAACATTGATTAAATTATTTTTTAATAGTAAGACGTCGATTTTGACGGACTCGTTGTTGTAAAGGTAGCAATGTATGACTAATAGTCTGGAAGCTGATCTGTCTGGAAGGCTGGATGTAAATGTCTGGTAGTACTATCGGGACGGATCACAAACTCCCATCCCCAGATGAAAAAGACCTTCAAGTTTAATCGTTTTCAGTTTCAGTCCGTGGATTTCCGAATGTGCAAAGCTATTTAAGGTCGATTTAGATGTTATATGGCTGGATTATTTCACCTATATTCCATTAAACCCCATGCTCGTCTGTCCTCCTTTATCATTAATAAAATTTACCAAAAGTATTTAAACTTACTTCCTACTAAATGGTTTTGCTGGCTAATAACTTGCTGTTTTAAAATAAACCAATAGCTGAAATTTTCGTAAAGAGTAAAATGTACAGTTTATTGAATTTAAAATATATTTTCGACTGCGGAAATTAAAAATAAAAAACAAATAAAATATACTCTGTTCGTATGTTTTAAAATTATTTAGATATGCCAAAAAATGTTTGTCTGATGGTTAATAAAAACGTAGCACGCACATCATGATAATAAAGTTACACACCTGTCGATAATAATTGTATTACATATTATTCTGTAGAACGACATAAGGTTTTAATTAAACATCGTTTATCCATATCTACTGCAAAATACCTCAACATAGTTGCTATGAGAGACCGCGGCACAGATGATCCGAGTATATAGTATACCACATATTTTTTTACATATAGAATATTATTACTTATAATTATCCAATAATAATAAACGGAATTTTACCAGAAATATAGACCGCAAAAAAAAATGATTAAAACCACGTTTTTATGGCAACGTTTCTGTCGAAAATCTATTGTTCTCGAGGTCATACTTAAAAGCATAGACAAACAAACGGTTTGCATTTTTATTTTATTATAATTTTTATACTGAATTATAACATTGGTATATATTAATAAAACAATATAACCAATAGAACACACGTTATAAAAATGTATGTATTTAGATATGTTCAATAAGCAAGTATAGCTTTGGAAGAACTACTAATACTAATACAACCAAAAAAGCGCAGTATAAGTATACGTTAAATATATATGGTTAAACCTCTCATTTCCACACCACTTTAATTGACTGTCTATAGTTTACGCGAGTAGTACACATTTAAATAAAACACTCTTAACGGTTTTAAACGGGAAATATATTGGTTAAACGTATCTACATATCATTTTGACTGTCTCTTTTCTTTCATTTTCAGTGTGTCGCGGTAGCTCAGTTGGTTCGAATTCCGCCAACGACCACTTTTATTTATTTCTATTTATTATAACTACATGTGTAACGATAGAACTTTTAACGTTTATAAACCAACTTTATTGACTATTTAGTTACATCTCAATTCATAAGTGTAACATTTTGAATGTTACAAATGTCATAACAAGTCTTGAATGTATATTTTTGCCGAACACAAACACTTGTTGTGTATATTTTAAACCGACACGAGAAAGTTAGAGTTTAATGACAAGAGCGCTGTTTGAGTCCCGAGGTGCCAACTGGGCTTTTAAAGCGCCCGAAACGGTTCAAGTACTCTCATTCGATCATTTCTGTTAAAATATGCCGTCGAAAGTGCAATTATTACTATTTCGATAGTATAAGTAACAATCAGACATTAAAAATGTGTTTATGACATATTATTGTCTGAGATCACTAATTACGAGTAGATTATTATTATTTCACTCTACTTAATGTATGTGAGTTTGACTGAAAATAAATATATTAATTGTAAAATATGTATATTGTATACATAATGTAGCAATAATTGTTAAATTTATCCAGTCCTTTTTTTAACACGACCCTAAAAAATCGACAATAGATTTAACATGAATACCATAACAGGATATTTTATTGAGATCCTTATTTAGTGGCCGAGGACAAAACAATTAATTATTTATATTTAGCGTGGTTAGTGGTGAAGACTTAAAATTACGTGTAGCAAGCGGCTTACTTAATAAGTATTTTTACTTATTTTGTATATATAACAAATTAAGTTATTGAAACTTGCAACAGACTGAAAACACACACTAAATTACATTTAAACATATTCGTTTAATTTATTTGCGCGTGCAGGGTGCGGGCGGTGCGAGGCATAACGAGGCGTGAGGCGCGGGCAGGGGAGAGAGGCGCAGAGAGGGATGCGCTGACGCCATGCGCGGTGCGGGATGCGCGCGCGCCTTCTGCTGGCGGCGCTGTGGGCGGTGTGTTTCGTGTGCGGCGGGTGCGGCGGGAACCCGGACGCGAAGCGCCTCTACGACGACCTGCTCAGCAACTACAACAAGCTCGTGCGGCCCGTGCTCAACGTCAGCGACGCGCTCACGGTGCGCATCAAGCTCAAACTCAGCCAGCTTATAGACGTGGTAAGTGGCGCGAAGAGCTCGTTTAAGTCTTAATGCTAGGACAGGTCTGGGAATATTTACTGTGCCTAGTCATGAACATACTTCCATTAAAGGATGGCTGACATGTCGGACTAGTGTGATATTTCAAATATCCTTTTCTTCGCAACTTTACCTTTGCCAGGTTATTTAGTGCTGTAGCATAATTTTCAATAGCATTGACAGCACCGTATTTCTCATATTTTCGTCGATTAAAGTAAAAATAAACAACCACTTTTTTATTTCAGAATCTGAAGAATCAGATCATGACGACAAATTTATGGGTCGAACAGGTAAGTTGAATCGAATATTACTTTTAATTTCTAAGCGATAAAACGTCAATTAAAATAATATTTACAAGCGGGTTCTTTAGCTTTTAAATTTTCTTTCAATTTTCAACTTCAAACCCTTACTTTTCTTTCAGAGCTGGTACGACTATAAATTGTCGTGGGAGCCTCGTGAGTACGGCGGTGTTGAAATGCTGCATGTGCCCTCGGACCACATCTGGCGACCCGACATCGTCCTCTACAACAAGTGAGTTTCACTCTACCTCCTTCTGAAAATCTCTGATTCACCTACTCTAAAAGTCTAATCTATGCGTCTTCCTCGCAGTGCTGATGGTAACTTCGAGGTGACTCTGGCAACGAAAGCGACGCTCAATTACACGGGACGAGTAGAATGGCGTCCGCCCGCCATCTACAAATCCTCCTGCGAGATTGATGTCGAATACTTCCCCTTCGATCAGCAGACATGTATCATGAAGTTTGGCTCTTGGACGTACGATGGTTTTCAGGCAAGTTGCATATTTCAGGTAGCATCTAATCATCGTCTTTCCTTCACTAGTGACTGGCCTTAACGAAGGTATTTCGTTTACAGGTAGACTTACGACATATCGATGAAGTGAAGGGCACAAACGTTGTCGAATTAGGTGTCGATCTAAGTGAATTTTATACATCCGTCGAATGGGATATTTTAGAAGTACCAGCTGTTAGGTAAGAATATTGTTTACCTTAATTAAACTGGAACTACTCATTTCAAAAATGTAATATAACTTTTTAAACTCAGTGCTCTATGATATTTTATGTTTTTTATCCATACGAATATTATACAACTGAAGAGTTTTATTGCTTGAATGCGCTAATTTTAGGAACTACTGGATCGAATTTAAAAATATTTTTGTGTTGGATATACCATTTACCGAAGACGACTTTTGTTTATAAAATATCATGACCCTGATAGGAGTTTAAAATGTAGAAAAAACCGAGCGTTGTAACAACATTATTAAATTAATCTTCCAAACAACAAATCAACCATTAAATACTGTCTGGAATTAAGGCAAATGGTACACATTAAAATAGAACACTTTGACAGTTTAAAACGCGATATATATTAGTTAAACTTATTTTGAAATTATTTTAACTACGGCCAGGCGTTTCGGAAGAAGCATTCCTTGCAGCGGCCGTGGTCACATGGAGACGCAATGTCTAAATAAGTGTGACCAATATCGCATTTTAAACCGTTAAAGAGTTTTATTTAAATAAAAGAACGATTGCCAGATCAGCTAGTTTATTATAATATGAATGTTGTCTATGTTTAGAAACGAGAAGTTTTACACGTGCTGCGATGAGCCGTACTTGGACATCACGTTCAACATCACGATGCGGCGCAAGACCCTGTTCTACACCGTGAATCTCATTATACCCTGTATGGGTATCTCGTTCCTAACAGTGCTAGTGTTCTACCTTCCCTCGGACAGTGGCGAGAAAGTTTCTCTATCTATCTCAATTCTGCTCTCGCTCACTGTGTTCTTTCTTCTGCTCGCTGAGATCATCCCTCCGACGTCTCTCGTTGTTCCGTTGCTCGGGAAGTTTGTCTTATTCACGATGATTCTCGATACATTTAGGTAAGTTTAGTAGAAAACATTCTTTTGTTTGCGTTGTATAAAAAAATGAAAATGTAAAAATCTGTCAAATTAGGTGTTAATTACTGTAGTAATGTTAATGCATCTATTCCATTGTCGATTCATTTGTCTATAAACTTGACTTCGATATTGTTGCAAAGATAACGGTATTTGAATATATAAAAGTGCAATAAAGGATACAATTAGAAATTAAACATTAACGTTATCTCTATCTTGTTTTCTATGACTTTAGTGCTAGTTAGTCTAAGTTTTAGTACCTACCTTCGTGATACTATAATTCGTTCATAAAGAAGTGCAGCACTTGAAGTCGTGGGGTTCTCCTTACAGTATCTGCGTGACGGTGGTGGTGCTGAACGTGCACTTCAGATCGCCGCAGACGCACACGATGGCGCCGTGGGTGCGTCGCGTTTTTATCCACGTTTTGCCTCGTTTGCTGGTCATGCGTCGTCCGCACTACCGCCTAGATCCTCACCGTAGTCGATTGTGAGTAACTACTAGAGTCTGACGCGTAGGACAGAAGGCTACAAAGTTGTACATATAAAAAGATTTTGGGTTTAAAATTTTATTACATTTATGCCAACTAGATAAGTGTTAGCAAGCCTCTTTGTTTCATACTGAGATAGCTGACCATTTCTAAAATTTACTCTTATCTATTGAATTTGAATATTGAAGTGCAGGGATCATTAGCGGCGAGGGCTGGTCGCCGGCGCTGGCGGTCGGTCCCGTGCCGGAGGGACCACTGGGAGGCCTGAGAGGCGTCGGCGAAGCGAGCTCACCCTCGCCGCCTCCCGGATGCCGGCTTCATGAGCTCCACGACCAGCACGAGGTGCAAGACGCGCCCACCGTCTGCGAGACGCTGCGCCGCTGGCACCGCTGCCCGGAAATACACAAGGCCATCGACGGCATCAACTATATTGCCGACCAAACGCGGAAGGAGGAGGACTCCACTAGAGTGAGAATAATTTCTTATTTCATCTCAAATTCATTTATCGGTTATCGAAGTGTAAGTAAAACTACTTCTGTAAATTTGTATCAATAACATATAGCTTTGTTTGTAATGTTTCACAGGTCATGATGATGTAGCTTAAAGATAATAAAGATTTGATAGTCATAAATATAAATCCTAATGCAATACAGGTGAAGGAGGACTGGAAGTATGTGGCGATGGTACTGGATCGATTGTTCCTGTGGATCTTCACACTGGCGGTGCTGGTGGGCTCGGCCGGCATCATCCTGCAGGCGCCCACGCTGTACGACGAGCGCGCACCCATCGACGTGCGTTTGTCGGAGATCGCCTACACGGCTGCCAAGCCGCGGCCGCCCCCTCCGCCCCCGCGCTAGCGCCGTTCGCGCCCTCTGCGCCACTGCCCAGCAGCAGTCCAGCTAGACTCCTAGCTATCGACTGTCGCACACTATTACTGAATTATGTTCATTCATTGTAAATAAAATTCTATTATAACTATAGTTTATACGACGAAGTAACGTGATCGAATATATTATTAAGTCGAATTTCTTTTGATAGACACGAAATAAATCGATTGTTTACAGAGCTCATTTTGAATGATCCCTGCTTGATTAAATCTCCTCGCCAATGATGCTGCTTAATTTTAGAGCATAAAATTATGATTTGGGCAAAAAAAGTAGTAAAACACATTTTAATATGCAGCTCTTTATTTAATAAAAATGAATACTCAAGGTCCATTATCTCGCCATAGTCCAGTAGTTTTACAAAGCTTATATAATAAAATTATACATATATAATATACTCACAAAAACTTCCCTATAAAACAAGTTGTGTTGGTATTGTAATTTATATTATTTGTGAAAAAGAAATGATAAATTATAGAATTTATAGATACCGTTATGATACCCAGCATGAAACACTTTTTTGCAATGGCCGTTAAAACACTCTATAATAGGATCTAGATGCATCTTTCCATGCTCTTTTTTGACTTCTTTATTCTCGTCAGAAAAATCACTGTTTTCATTATCCATGAGTTGTTTAGACGATGAGTCATCTATTTCCATACTGTCGACAATTTTATCCTTGCGTTCAAAGTCGTTTTTGAAAGAAGTATCATTGGTATTTAGATATATATTATTTGAGTAAAAAACAGCTTTTTTATCTTGGACTTTATCTACCGGATTCTTCTTTTTTAAATATCTTTCATGCGCTACATCGTCAATTTTTTTTTCTTTTTTATCTTCACTATCATGAGATTCAGCGGTATTATCCTTTATATTATTCTTGAATTCAGCAGACGTGTTTGTGGAATTTCTTAAAACATTATGCACTGGCATCGGGACTTCCTCTTTTTCGTGTGAGTGATTGTGTAAGTAATCTTTATCAACATTTTTATATTCGTTACTACGTACGTCAATAAACAAGTGATGGTTTTCGGTGTTAGCTTCAGGTTGATCGTTATGGGGGGTCACTTTTTCGTCGCTGGAATTATCGTGCACTTGAATAACTTTGACTCGTGAGCCATCATACGGGCCTTCTTCGGAGATATCATTTAGATCGAGGTCACTGGATTTATCACCATTTGCCTGAGTATTATCCCTTAGAGAATGTGGCTCAACTTCATCATGTTTATTGGTAAGGTTTAACATGTCAAAGATATTGTGAGCAATGTCTTGTTTCTTTTTTTGTCGTTGTAGTTTCGCCACGATATTAGACGGCGCTAATATTAAAGCGATGGGTGCGGCATTATGCTTTCTGACGAGTGGTAGTCCACGTAAATAATTAGTTTTCCACTTTTTCAAGTCTTGATAGGGAACTATACGGAGGAGGTTCCTGATGTCGTCGTATTTATGCTCATCATCATCAGCCAAAAAGTCCGGTATGGTAGGATCGGGAGATGTCGCGTCTACTTCTGCTATTACATCCCTTTGTGGTAGAGAACTTATTCCACGACACGAGTGAGAGACCACATGGTGAAGGAAGATCAACACAAAGGCTATAAAAAAATGATATTATCAGGTTTATTTTAGGTAGGTATATTTATTTTTCAAATTTCATTTTAAATACTGTCTATAGTTTACGCGAGTAGTACACATTTAAATAAAACACTTTAACGGTTTAAAACGCGATATATTAGTTAAACTTATTTGATAATGATTTTTAAGTTCGGCCCGACGTTAAAAATCATTTTCAAATAAGTTTAGTTAACCGTTAAAGTGTTTTATTTAAATTTCATTTTGTTAAAATTTAAATTACAATATGAGTGGTACTTACGATGTAAACTGTCCATGATCCTTTGATTTGGTCTTGTACTACACGTGAAAGCATCTGATATAAATACACCCACAGAAAATGACGCCATGATAACTTCTGCTATTAATTTGATTAGGCGTTGATTGATTTTCTTAATTAAAACTCTTAAAATATGTTTTTATGTGTTCCACTGTGTTAGCGATAACTGCGCACTTTAATTATTAACTTAAGCGAATTTAACCATTTTAAATTCGCTTAAGTTAATAATTAAAGGTGATTTTTTAAAACTAAAATTAACTTAATATGTATGTTTACAAAGTAATTAACATATTTTAACTATGGTAAAAAGGTAATGTAGGTAGAAAATATACAGCATGCACTAAGTGTGAAAAGTTTAATTCAACATTGGTTACTACTGAAAACTTCTAAAAAGTGATTTTGAGACAAATATAAGATACTGCAGATAAACATTATATTCTATAGTCGAATCTGTCATTGGCGGTATCTGTTAAAATATTACGTCAATTGCCATCGAATGGCATGTAATGCCAAAAGTGACATTTAAAGATTGACATTTTGGTTGACATTTGCGTGTCTTTCTCTTTTCAAGTTTCGCTCCGCTCTTTGCAATCATGGCGGTGAACACTATTTCTAAAAAACGCAAAGTACGTTGTGATTTAAGTATTAAAAATGATAAATACTAAAATAATGGCTTACTGTCTACGTTTTAAATTATATCTACATGTATACTTTTTCAAAATGACTTGTGTTAAGTGTGATGCCAATTGATTTGTTTTCAAGTGTGAATGGTGACAATACGCTTATATTAATGACATAAATTACACCAAACATGTAAACCTATGTAAAAGCTAGTTAACTATGTTTTGGTTATATTACAACCTTTATGTTTGAGTTTACCGGTGGCGATTTTCGAATAAGGTGAAATCAAAACATAACCTCTGAAACTTTGCAGTTTGTCGGCGATGGAGTTTTCAAAGCGGAACTGAATGAGTTCCTCACGCGTGAACTCGCTGAAGATGGGTATTCTGGAGTGGAGGTACGTGTGACTCCGACGCGTTCGGAGATCATCATTATGGCGACCCGCACACAGAGCGTGTTGGGGGAGAAAGGACGTCGGATCAGGGAATTGACGTCTGTAGTTCAGAAGCGATTTAACATCCCAGAACAGTCCGTGGAGCTGTATGCCGAGAAGGTCGCCACTCGTGGTCTGTGCGCTATTGCTCAGGCTGAATCTCTTCGGTACAAACTCATTGGAGGTTAGTTCTTAACGTGAATTTTTATATTGTTATTCAATGTTGAGAGAATATACAGTTATATCTAATAGTAGATATAACTGTATATTCTCTCAACATTGAATACAACAATAAACACTTGATACATATAAATGTATCAAGTGTTTATTGCAATAGTAATGTAATACAATCCACATTTCTTAATATGTAGTTTCTTTTTTTTGGCTACCACTAGCTTAAGCCACAAGTGCTAAGGATAGATTTTTCTGGTATCATATATTCAATTGTAAGTCTGTTAAGCAAGACTTACAATTGACTTACAAAGGGACCAACTATCTTTGTGACCTACACTTTTAGTTAGTAAATATTCAAAATTTAAATTAGAATACTAATACCATAGGCCTTGCTGTAAGAAGAGCATGCTATGGTGTACTTCGGTTCATCATGGAGTCTGGAGCAAGAGGGTGTGAAGTAGTTGTGTCAGGCAAGCTGCGGGGTCAGCGTGCCAAATCTATGAAGTTTGTGGATGGCCTCATGATTCACTCTGGTGACCCATGCAACGATTATGTTAACACTGCCACAAGGCATGTGCTGTTGCGTCAAGGTGTGCTTGGTATTAAGGTGAGAACCTAGTCTTATATTTTTAATGTTTTTCACATGTTATTGTTCTTAATGCCATTATATAAATTAAAAATCTTTTGAATTGAAAAAAATCATGACACATGGGTACTTGTCATGTTGCTGCACTACGCAATTGACTGTATCCTTTATTTTTCTGGTCACAGCCTTGTAGTGTTTAAATTATAACCCAATAAAGATAGTAACCATTTTTCATTAAAATATACTTTATTCTCTGTAAAATTATAAAAATAATTTAGATTCATCAAAAAAATAATAATAATATGCTTCTCTGTCCATTTGTTGTGATTCTACAGACTGTTCAAGAGAGTACTGACATAAGTGAGAAGAATACCCAAGAATCTCAGTCTGGCTTTTTTCAATATGTCTTACAAACTAATATATTTTTGTGAATTTAATGATCTAATGAGCAATTCATATACCCAACTGCCTGGCATTCCTGTCATTAAAGAAGTTTTTTAAACAACAATATGCTTTTTGAGACAATCTACATTTTATGATTTTTTTGAACTTATTTATTGATAATATCATACTTTATACTTTAAAATTCTAGGGACCTTTCCCTAGCCTAACACACTATTACATTGTACATTTTAGATTTTGGCATAACATTATTAACTCAGTTCCACAAATTCAGGGATGGGTGTCCCAGTGGGCTTTCCATCTAATTATTTGTGGTAGATTAATGATCTTGTTTATTGGAGGGTTCATTTGTATGAGCTCTGGTACGGTGCAAGCTCCACATTCTAATACAATTTTATGTATGTATAATCTGTTATTACGGAAGGTGTTAAAATATTATTTTATGTATTTTCAGGTAAAGATAATGTTGCCTTGGGATCAGCAAGGCAAGAACGGGCCAAAGAAGCCACAACCAGACCACATTTTGGTAACAGAGCCCAAAGACGAGCCAGTGCCAGCGGAACCTGTGTCAGACGTGCGCTCGTTGTCGGCTGCGCCAGCAGCTCCCTTAGCGCCTCTCGCCGCGGCACCCACTACACCCATGGCTGCGCCCGCTCCACAGTCTGCCATCGCGTAGTTATTGTAATATAATCACATTCGACTAATACCGTCTCTTATTTTGAGGCCCGTATACCAGGGGGAGGTAATTTCTTTTTGTCCTTATAAAAGCTTTTCCTGAGTCGAAGATAGTTCTAACTCATTTTTTAAGGTGTTGTTAGATTAGAAAAGATAGGAGATGGAGAAATTCTGAGTTTTAATTTAGGTGAAAATTATCATTGTGAATTATCTAACCTTATCTTACCTTTATTATTAATTTTTTGTGTGGAAACGGTTTTTACTTTTGAAATAGAAGTTTCCATAATTTATGGCTTACTCGTTTTAAGGTTACAGCTATTAAAATTAACATGGTACTAAATCAGATTTGGAAGGTTAAAGTACTCATTTGTTAGAATTGGCAATGAAAAGGCAAAAATGTTTAATACAACTTATTTATTCTCATTACTCAGTTGCAAACGCACCATATTTAGCATATAACATAAATACAGTTAAAGAAAACAGTATTGTAGTAGGTAAATAAAAGATAGTGTCTGCATACAGTTTCTTAGGACACTAATTACTCATTTAGAGTGAGAACTATTGTTCTGAAGAAGAGAACGAAAGGAAATAACCACACTTAAATCTTATTCTGTAATTTAAATTCTAAAGAGCGAACTAGTATTTTATAACTACGAATTTTAACAAGATCTCATTTCAGTTACAAAATATTCCTTTATAATTCATTATAGAAGCTATATTAAAAGCTAGAAGCTAGTGCCCGTAGATTTATGAAAGCACATGAATATTTCGCGTCGCTGCAACCTGCTACTATCTACATAATCGCATGTGTGGCGTGCAAGGTACAATGCGGCTACTCGTGGAGTGTATTGATTGGGTAATTTCAGTGCACAGTATTTAACATTAATTTATTACGACGTGGCTTTTATTACTCTACCTTACAGCTAATGGACAGAATTGCGTGTACAAGGCCCGGTATGTGTCAGTTCTGCGTTGAAGCTATCGACCCTAATTCACTTCGTTACAGACGATATTCTCTAGCGTACGATAGCGATAAGCGAGGGGATGCGAGACGGATCGACGACGAGGCGCGCTGAAATATTCTTCACTGGCAGGCCTTACGCTAGGTTTCAAGGTTAAAGGCATTTGGAACCTAGTAAGTATTTGTGATTAGATGTGGTAATAATTTATAGTCGTTTAGTCTGATCGACCTTCAGTGAGTAGTACATTTAGTGGGCTACGCTTACTCGGTAATATAGGTTAATAGTGAAGCTAACTACGAACCGCTGAAACTAGTTTTCAGTAGAATCGATACTTAGACTATGGGTTAATAATTTATTAGGAAAGGCTAAGGCGGGGCCTATCGTTAATAACGAGTTACCGATAGACGTTTTGCTTAGGTCTGAACATTTGGCACAGAGTAGGGTACAAAAGAAATCTAACAGTAAGGTGTTTAAAGCCTACATCACAGAATGAAGGAGCGAGCGGTGCGAGTGACAATATTCAATGCAAAAATAGGCTTGTATCATAATTACGATCTACCTCACTAATCTATTACAGTATTAAATTACAACAATCGCTGTACTTAGCAGAGACTCTTTGGAGACAAATTGCATTTCGCTTTTACGTAAATCGGCGCTCGGGCATAGTGCTAGGCTAGTTTTTAACATAGTACATTAAATTAATCACTATTTTTATTTATAGGCAAACACGTCTCTAGCGAAAATGATGAACCCGTTGGCACTTTCGCACGTCTTAGTCGACAAACAATTAGTCAATAATAATTGAATATCTACCTGCTTCCACTTACTAAAGAACTCTTAAGTATTACAACCTGCAAGAATCTATAAGTAAACACAAGGTAAATCAAATGAAATACAAATTAAGTAAATATGCCCGTTTAATAAAATTCAAAAATTGCAAAATAATAAAATAACATATTTAATAATTCCATTAAAAATTAAGTACCCAACACCGAAGACCCACAAGTAAAAAGTAAAAGGAATGTTCCGTAATAAAATAACATAAGAAAAAATTATAGAAATACTTTGAAATGGACGCAATCACAATAATAATAAAGAAAAGTATAGTAAGCCTATCGAAGTAATAAATTAATTAAACTACAGTCTATATTGCGAGTTAAGTACAATAAGTACAGAGTCCGAATTGGAAATTCCCTCTTAATATTAAATAATTAAATTATAAATAATACATTTATAACATAGTAACTAAATTGACCTATGGCACTAAATAATAATTTAACATTTAATATTATACTGTATACCTAAAGGCTATAATACATAGAAATCACATGAACGGAATGTGAACGAAAACTGCCCTAAAGCTATAAAAAAAAACCAGTTATAAGAAAATAGTACACTGACATCTTCAAAAATTATAGAATTAACAATATACAAAAAGCATTTTATTAAAACCACGCCTCCTGATTATGTAAAAAAACATCGGAAATACAGCGAAAGAAAAATATGAAAAATCACACGATCTGTCAACAACCATACCTAGATTAGCAACCTAATTTCTCTTCACGACGCTCTTAAATAATTTTGTTGCACTTCATTACATAACGTTGTGCTCTCCTTTGTTTTGACTGAGAGCAGAATGCGAGTCGAGCTTATAGAAAACGCACCCTAAAATATAAGAAAGACTGATCATAAGACGTAAAGTGGATTCGCGCAGCAATGGCGATGCGACGTGGCTCAGTAGCGCTGCTGGTACTCGTGATGCCACCGGTTGAAGTCGATGTGGAACACTACCAGCGATCCGTTGTCCAGGCCGGCTAACAGGTATCTAGCAGTGGGGAATTTCAAAATATTACTTGTTCCGAATATGTCCTGTCTTGTTAGTTAAATCACGCTAGCATTACAACTTAGGTCCTAGATTTAGAAAATTGAAATGAACACTACAATTTCAAACAAGCTACTTGTGCATATTATGTTACCCTAACCGCTACAAGATGGCGCTATGCGACATCGAAGTTGTTAGATCGCGCTAAGTAAAGGTATCTTTGTAAAGAATATAATATATTGTTTTTATAATTAAGTATACGTTTGCTATTATTAAAATACGTCCCTAGTTTGTACAGTGCTACTCGCCTATAACCACCAGTGAAACGGATGCAAAAGTCACATTTCGAAATTTTATAAATGTAATATTTTTATTCATAAAGTGTAGATATTCAGAATGAACCAGTGTAATCTAAGTAGTACAGTAGACTTATTTGCGTGGAGAACTTTTGAATATGCTCATCTTAGCTAAAGAAAGAATACCTTTGGTCGTGCGAAAGCGCGAGTGAGCAAACCGGCGCGCCAGCGGGCGGGAACGCGTAAAGGGGTGCCAACGTGAATGCGCGCCAAACCTCCACCACTCCGGCCTCGCCACCGCACACGAGGTATTCACCACAACGAGATAGAACCAGGCACTGCAAATACGAAATAAACAACTATTATGAACAGAACTCGAATCTACGGCCTCTATGTCAAGGTATCAGCTTCGATATCCAGCCGATAAAAAGTATTACAAAATGTAAGTTGGTAGAACGCTCAACTGTAAACCCACAACAAAAAATCCATGTTTTCACACCATCCTACTTGCAATATATAAGCTGTTCGTGCCGACATATTTAATAAGACATAGGTTGGTAGTTCAAAACTGAATCTAAAGAAAGATGACAATTACTAGGCAGTTCACATTACTGAAGCTAGATAGCGCCACTTGCACGCTTATTATTGTATATATTAACATATCTAGTGGTTTTTAAGTTATACCTGGAAGTGATCGTTGTGGGTTTCGTGTCGCAGTCTTCTGCCGTTGAGCGTAAACGCCGCGAGGTGTCCTCGTTGATACGCGACCACAACCACGCCCTCGCGGCTCAAGGCGAGCTGCTGAGGGCCTGATACACCCTCCGCGGGTTTCAAAGACCGTAACACCTCTCCGAACGTCGTGTGAATGAGCACTGGCCCATCTGATTGGAACACGAATACCCACAATTATTATACATCACTTAATAATAATATCTATACTAATATATAAAGCTGAAGAGTTTGTATATTTGAACGCACTAATCTCAGGATCTACTGGTTCAAATTGAAAAATTCGTTATATGTTAGAGCATTTATCGAGGAAGGCCATCGCTCTGTGACTAATACAAGCGAAGAGAAGACACAGCTAGAAATGTGAAAAAAAATGAAAAATTAATCATTATGGGTTTCCCAAAAAATATGTATGAAAGAATGATTCCTCTTTAAATGATCTAAAAGAAAAGTACGCGACGCCATATACTTGTCTTTTAAGATTAACTTGCAAGAACGACGGCAAGGGACCCGACCGACGTCATGGGTAACTAACTGCTTAAGTTTATAAAAATGAAGGTGTTTGCAAAAACGAATTTGAATGCCCAAAACGATACTTATAATTTACTTGTTTTCTCTCTAGTGTCAATAAACAATTTAGTATAAAACTATATACCACGAGAATTTGGAACCAGAATAATACATTATTATTTTAGTTATTAATGTTACAAACGCCCCTGCCATTATATTGTATAGGTGATACTCACTGACAGACGAAGAAATAACTAAGCCGAGCTCAGCCGAAACTAGCAGAGCGTTGAGCGGAGCCAGATGACCGGTGAGGGTAGCACGTGGAGCCGGGCTCTCGCCCTCGCCCACGACTCCGCACGCCCGAGCTGACCAATGCCATAATAGCACCGTGCAGTCCTCGGACCCGGAGGCAATGTAACAGTCAGAGGTGATATTGCACTCGGATCGAGCCAGGCAAGTCACCACACCGTAGTGACCGAACACGATTTGAACTATGCGACCGGTGTCAGTCGAAAACACGCGGAAACTGTTGTCCCAGAAGCCCCCGGCTACCAGAAACCGTGAGTCCACTGTCGTCACGAAGCAGTTGCTGCGCGCGCGCACGCGCTGAGAGAAGTTATCGCCGAGTTGACGACGCGCTAGGGCACCTGATCCGCCAGCGGCTGAAAAGATATTTAACACTAATGTTAGTAATTTATGACCATAGCTTATATATAATTTTAATTTAAAAAAATCTTTTACTCATGCATTAAAGCGGGTAAATATAGAAATGATCGATAACTTGAGAAAATTATGGGCCTATAACCATATGCTTTGGGAGTTCTAAAGACTTAAAAACAACAAACAATAAGCAATATTCACCCCAAACTGGATCCATAACGAGGGGGTGATGTGGTGGCTGGTGATCAGCATGTCTTGCTGCCACATGCGCACAGCCTCCCCCCACCCAACGATGCGCTGCGAAAGCTCGCGCCGCGCTCACTGTGACCGCAGCTGGTGCTGGCAACTGCGGGTACGTATTAGCAGAAACGTGGACGACAGCCGCGTTGGATGGCAGCTTGAGTCGAAGGCAAACGTCGTCTGGTGCCGCAGCAAACATAAGCGGAGCCAGGTGCAGCGAAGACGCTCGCGGCGGATGCGGCTCGCTGAGCAACTGCGCCGGAGTCTGTCCGAAGCTTCGAATCTGCTCCTCCACCGCAGCGCGCGTTACGGGCTCCGTTAGTTGCTCGAGACGGACGCCGCCCTCGTATGTCAAGTAGTAGAAGACGTTTGTGGCCCGCACCGCTTCAGGACCTTGAAGTATTTAAAAGCAATTTTTATAGACAAGCAATGTTAGTATGAGGTTGTTGCTAGTGTCTACGGTAACTGCGTAAATAAGTAATAAGACTTATCATAAATTTCGCCGTGCAAAATGCACAGCAACTAATAAAGTATGTGCATTTTGCTCAAATATCGATATACCCGCACGTATCTTACTCCTATTTCCCCACTAACTACGAATTGTGTAGGTATACATTATTTATTAAGGAAAAGGTACCTACTAATGGTTTTAAATTGTGGAATAAAGATACATATTTTCTTTGACGTCACGTCTAAGATTTTCAGATACTGAATGTACTGAGAATAATGTTAGAAGACACGCTATTAAGTCTGAAGAATGCGCAAAGTGGACATTAAATTATTATGTCGCTTACATCCGGAACCGACAATTTTCCTCGGTTGGAACACTGGACATTTTACTCGCTACGACAGGTTTGATAGAGATTTTAGAATGTTTAAATCTATCAAATGGTTTTTAGTAGTGGTCGCAATACCTCTTTGCTTGTAGCCGAATATGAGGTCGATCCACTGATGCAGCTGGCAGGAAACGAACTCTGACTCCAGGGCCATTCGGTTGATGCGCACGAATTCGTCGGGCGAAGCGGCCCACGGCGGCAGCTGCACGTCTCCCGTGGGGTTGTCCGGTAGCTCCAGCTTGCAGCCCGCGTTGTTAACCAGCATCTCCGGGAGGAAGAAGAGCTCGGGGATTAGCTCCTGTAGGGGAATCGACAATAGGGAACGCATAAATTAAGAATACCTATTTGAAATCAAATTTACAGATTCTGAAAGAAAGGGTTGGTACACGAATACTAGGTACCTACGTACAATACATTTTTATTGTATTGGAAGAAAAACGATCACAAACAATTTAACCTCTCGTTAGGTCGTGAATTGCGAAAATATTTTATAATTTCGTAAATGACACAAATCATATGTTTTTGCAGAGCGAAGCAATTGATGTTGACAAAAAGTTCAATCTGGTGAACTGCGAGCGTCCGGTCGCGATAAGAACAATAATAGAAGACCCTCCCACGACTACATATGTCTATCTATAAAGTAACAATAACCTGCTACCTATTTTGTATACATAACGTGAATATATATTGGACTCTAAACGACGGTACCTTAACGTCAGACGTGTCCCGCTGGCAGTTCTTCCAGGAGAGCGCGATGGACGAGAAGAGCCTGTTGGGATGGTCGAACTTGCCCCCGTGAAGGGACAGAAACATAGTCGTCATCGGTTCCTGCAAACGAAGTTCACAATTGAGACACACGAGGGTCAGTAAATAAGGAAAAGTTTTCAATGCTTCAATTGGGACAATTAAGTGATTAATGTGGCAGAGACGAGAAAATTGTGGTCGTATTAATAATGACGATTAAAATATCTTATACAATGATAGCTTGTGGATAGTTGCAAGGTGACATCCGCGTATTAGCAAAGCGTGAGGTACTAGACACAATCGCTCGGCACTTGGAAATCAATCGGAAAGTGTGCGGTGATAGGGAAGGATAGTTTTAGCGTTTAATTAAATCGATTTAATATTTTATCGTGACTTATGTGCTAATCCACATTCAACACACGAAGATCAAAATAAGCACACGTAAGTTCATTTTTATTTTCATCATAATACTTCGTAAGTCAAATGTTTTTAAATTCTGATATATCGTGAATTTAAACATTGTTTTTCTTGATAGATTTTATTTTGTTTCGCTTTATACTTTGGACCTTAATAAAAATATTCGTATAGTGGAACTACAATGAAAATAGGTAAGAGTTCAGTCGTTTACGGTAGTAATATGGTTACGAGGTACCTACAGTCAATGATCTCGATATCTACTCTATAACGATTTGTATTTTTAAATTACCTTAAACAAAGTTATTTTTAAATGTACATTTAAAAATAATTTCGTTCGCGATTTCAACCTTTGCCACTGAGGTTTTCGATGCGTGTATTTTTGTATAATAGTTTGAATTGTCTTAAAATAGTCTTTGGTTTGATCTAAAGATAGTGTCTGCTTATTTAACCGATGATATACTTACGATCCTGACAAGCCAGTTGAGGACGAAGGCCGCAGTCGAGTAGTGGGTGCCGTAGTGGAAGGGGGGTGTCGATTCGTGCTCCCACGTGTTGTAGCGCTCTTCAAAGTACGCTCGTCGACTCGGATTTAGTGCACCGATCGGCTGTGGGTTTTAACCCAACATGTCATATTTTTGATGTCATAACAAAAATGTCGTGTTTGGACACACAATTTCAGATCGGGAACGCAATGCCAGTTCAGAACGGGAGTTAAAAGATAGAGAACAACTAACAGGCAAAACTTCAAGAAACACTTAACAAATTACGCACGTACAGGCTTCAATATGTGTTACCTATATCTACCCTCAAAAAAGTACCAAATCCCTAAACTTTCGTCTTTATATTCAGAACTATTTTTAAATGATGGCGAGGTCTCTTACCTTAGAGAGATCTCGGTAATTCGAAGGTTGGCTGAGATCAAGTTCCTCGCTCTCGTAATTAGTGAGGACCCACGGGAACACAGGATATTGATTCAGGTCGTTGTATGTCCGTCCTGCGACATTTAAAAAGAGCGTTAAAGGTAAACCGACGTTAATAAATCACTTGTCAAATTTGAGCGTAATCGTGTTGTGTGAGACGGCGGTTAAGTTGTTAGTAGAAGTGAACTAAATTGGCCATAATTCAACCGAACGAGCGCGTAATAGTTGTAAAGTTCCACTGAAGAGATCGCTCCGTCTCACACAGCAGTCCAGCAGAGTCACGTGGAAACGCATCAGCGTCTTCAGTAAACAAATCGGTGTCCGGGCGCGCATGACACACCTGCAAGTTCAACGCTTCTCGGCCGGATTGTTGTTATTTACGTCTGACTCATGTAGCCGTGACACTCGATCGCTTCTTGTACGTGAGAAAGGGTCTCAAAGAACTTGATAGTTCTTGATGGAACTTGAAGCTGGATGTTTTATTTACATTAGCAGTAAAAATATTAAACCACCACCACTTTGTTTCAGCAATTTTCATTTACAGACTCACGTTCCCGGGTATCGCTATTGCTATATTGGGAAGCAAGGAGATGCTCTCAGTAAATATTTAAATCTCAAATAATTGGGCAGTCGTGTGTCTCTTTGTCCGGTCCTTGTTTAGTACTACGAAAATTGCATTGGGAAATAGTGCGCAATGAGGTCGACGCGCCATGCTTTGGAGAGCTCAATGACAACGATAAAATAGTGAAAACATTGCGTCCGTTTATTGGGTCATTGGTATATTGTAAATCTAACCATTGTAAGCCACAAGAAATAGAGGCCCGATATTTTATTTCACCTGAACTATGGTTCAGTAGGTCCATAATCGTTGCACAAAAATACTTTATAGAAAATCGTCAGTAGGTGAGCCCGTTTGATTAGTTTTGTTGAAAATGTAACATTTGTATTTTTAGACACATCCATTTTCTAATATTATTCAAAAATTGCATCGCTATCATGATCCACATGGAACAAATTGTCTGTTCATCGACGGGACAATGAATGAGGTTATTTTACAAAACGTGCAGAACTTAATTGACACTGTACTGCTACTTTATCGGTATTTTATAATATAATTACGTGTATCGGTCTACCCGTCGCGTGGCACGGGGTTGAGTGATAAGGAACGTCGCGTTATCGTGGCCCATTGTCCACTTATTCGTAGCACGTGACCCTTCTGCGGACCCGCGAGCCCCCGCCGGCGTCCACCGTTCACTTGGCAAGTGTTTACTTTCGCAGACGCATCTCGACACTCCGATGGCGAAGGTAGGAGTTGCCAAAAATAATTTAACCATCAATAAGAATTACAACGAGTGAAAGTAAACGTAAGCGAACTAAAGCCACGTCGAGTCGTTCCGGTCATAACCCCAGCGTGCAAAGTTTTGGCGCGCATTTCGAGAAGTATTTCGCGCGAAGAAGGCGGCGGCTGGTCTCGTTAGGGCTCTCGTGAAAAGTGCTGCACGAGCGAACGTGAAATGAATACAGCAAAAGTTATGGAACTCCTCAAGAGGTGAGTTTTGTTTGTATTTCACCCGATCAATTGTTGTATGAGCGTCATTAAACTCTAAAACTTTCACTGAATTTCAGTAATTTTTATTGAACGTTTAGTGTTATCACCAAGCCGAAAAAAGGTGACCTGTTTATATTAAGAGCGAGATTCGAGAATTTAGATTTTAATTCTTTAATTTAAAAGAAATAATATTTTTATTAACTTTTCAAATAGTAATTGGCTAATAAGATATTCGTCGTGACCAGAAAAAATCTTTCTCCTACAATGGGTAGAAATCATAAAACTTTTCACTAAGTACTTTGCGAAAAGGAAATTTATCGACTTTAACTCGAGATCATAGATTTTTTTAATTAGGTCTTGTGGCCGCGTATCACAATCAATCGATTCTATTAATTATTACTATTCTATAAAGATCGGATTGATCACAAATCAATCCGATCTTTATAGAAACACTCAACAGTGCTACATCGACATCGTTTACTAATCAGCAATTAGTTCTTATTCTATTCTTATATAATTATCGTTTGGCCGTTTGGTCACGAAAGCTTAAGCGTTGATCTTGACCCACAGTGTTGGATTTGCAATTCAGGTGTATTTATAGTTTTCAATTTTAAATATTTTTCAAATTTTTCAATTTTTCAAATTTACATAAGCATGACAGCTACCTTAACAAAAATGATAACTAGTGTCATGCCTATATTTCGTATACTGTTTTATCGTAATTTACTAGTAAAATAGACATATTATACATTCTTATAACACTCTCTCATTATGGTGTGAGAAAATGATAGGATAAAGGGCTTGAGCGGGAAACATCAGCGCATTATTATTGTGCAATGTATCAATTCACCCGTTAAGTATGTATACGCATACGCGGCTCGACTGGAAACGGAGAGCGGGAGCGAATTTTCAGCTGCGCGTAGGCACACAACTTGTTTAGGACAATTTATTTCACATGACAGCTGAGCCAAAGAATAATTGCCAAGGCCTTTTTATTAATAATACTAGGTTTCTGAAATTGACTCAACTAAGAAGTACATATATAAAAAAAAAGAAAAGAAGTACATAATTATGTATTAGGTCTTGTCAAAAATGCCTAAAACAATCGATTGTTCGTTCAAACAAACGTTCGTTTTCAAAAACTGGAATCTTTTTCACATGTCATTGCACATGCTGGCACTATATAAATGAAACATTAATTATACATTTAATAAAAATACGACTCGTAGCTCGGTGTATTAGGACTCGGTAGCTCAATTGGTTAGAGTAAGAGCACGGAACGCTGTGGATGCACGTTAAGTAGAATCGCTCGCAGTGGCGCCCCCACCCCGTCTCTATTAAATAATGAGCTAATAAATTGCATCAAGCAGTAATCCTCTTGCCACACTTATCCGCAGCCGGCTGGTCACATGAGCAGATTACTATCAATCGCTTCCCCTCGTTTGAACCAACTCGTGACAAAAATAAAAATCGTTGCAAAGACCCATGCACATAAAAAATGTAATCTTTTTCCAATTCGTTATATATAACGATTAAATTTAAAGACGCTCTAAACAATTAAAAGAAAACATTTGCATTTTGATGAAATCGTTTGCTTAAAAATACAATTTCGATGTTTTCGCTTATTATTCATTATTGCAATTAAGACAAGAATAAACGTCATATAACATGTAGACAAATTAAACTCGTGTTTAATATTTTAATTACGTTTGAAATCGTTCATTTATTTAAACAATATAAATCCAGAACAGAAGAAGTCGTTAACTGCTTTCGCTATGAATGCATTTTATTATTATACGTAATTACATTAACTGTATATCGAATCAAATCGACCAAACGGGTCGTCACGGATTTCAATAAAAATGTCAATAATGTTGCGAATTGCGATGTAAGTAGGTACGCTCAATAACAATACCGCATCGTATTACATCGAGTTATGTAATGTCGTGCCGACAATCCGCAGTAAAGTGTAAAACAGTTACTCCTAGCCGCTGCTTAGTGTGTGACGAAATGGTCCATCGTATGTCATAATATCACACACTAGGTGATATGATGACATGACAAAGCCTGTTTCGAGGTCCGAACCGTTTTTTTTGCGCGAACTTACCATTTTCAATACAATAAAATATGATTTATAATTATTACTTCCCCATGCACGTTTAAAAACCTTAATATAGCAACAGCCAAAACGCAGGCGACGGCGGTCAGTCCTGCCCGAGTCGATAATTTTTTCAATTTATTTTCAAAAATATTTTATTTATTCAGTCACATCATCACAGAGCAATTGAGATTTTACACAGCCTTTATTACCCGTGCCGATATAACGAATCGTCTAAGAGTGTTCATAAAATTGGTCTACATTTAAGCGGTAGAGACAAACTCTCCACCATCTCTTCTGGCTTCGCCACCGTAGGGCAATAATAACAACAATCAACAAAACAAATTTTCCAGTGACTCATTAGAGTTAATTGATAATCCAATTTGTTTCTGCGGTTAACCGATTTTGGGTTTCTTGTGAGTGTTCAATTTTCAACGCAGATAACGTGATAACTGTCTTAGCACGGGGTTTTTTTGTAAAAAATAATATCCACTTATTTTCATCATTAGCGAGCCGTGACGTCTTTTTTAAAATTAAACATATCGAACTATTGACGCTTTGGGCTTTTAGCTCTCTTTCAATGTTAATCCTAATAATTATATATTTATAAGTTTAAAGACCGGCAAAGACATTTTCTAACAAGGTTTTAAATAAAACCTTAAATAGAGGGCTTTGAAGTGTGAACAAACTCTAGATACTAAGGCTCAAAGAAGAAACACGTTTAAATAAGAACGCTTTTGCCCATTTACATAAACTAAGTATTATAATTAAGCATAAAACAATAGTGTGCCAACCTGCAATGGTGTTGAGGAACATGAGGTACTCGAAGTTGGAGATCTCTCGTCGTTGCCACTTCTGCGTCATGTTTGAGTTCCGCATCAACTGCCTCGGCGACATCATCGACGCTCGTCTGCAAGAATTATGTCTATTATAAGGCTGAAGAGTGTGTTAGTTTGATTGTTTGAACGCGCTAATCCCAGGAACTACTGGTTAGAATTGAAAAGTTCATTTTGTATTGGGTAAACCATTAATCGAGGCGCTGAGACCAACAGGAGCAAAGATTTCCTTGCAATATGTATTAATAATAATAATATTTTTTTCCCGTCACATTTGGTGAACGGGGAAAATATTAATCTCTGGGGGTTTTCGTTGCGAGCACTTCGAAAACGGTTCAAGATATCCAAAAATATTTATGAAATTGATGAATTATGGTTTGAATGGTGAATTTAATGCATCGTTATCAAATTTGTTAGAGTTGTATCAATATAATACTTGCGAACATCAAAACAACGTTTGCCGAATCAACTAATATCGAACAACAGCACGGAACGCTGACGATGCCGGTTCAAGTCCTGCCCGCGTCGAATTTTTTTTCAATTTATTTTCAATTTTTAAATTATATAGTATCGACTAAACCTAGCTCAACAATTGGAAAACAGTGTCGTTACTGTTTCGCTGATATAATTTAAAAGGTGCTGAAAAATGTGACACTTTCCCACACCAAATTATTATTTTTGTCAGACATTAGAATATATGCAGCAAAAAAATAATCTATTAATAATCATTATTTAAAACAGTTATGTGTAACCGGCTGATAAATAACAATTAAGGCCAAGACACAATAATTTCCATTATCGACGTTATGTAATAGAGTGACGGTTAAAGGAGTTGACGTTTTAAATAAACATAGAACCATACATCTCCCTTGATAAAATTTCAACAACACATTAAAATAATGTACTTAATTCGTTAGATTGTCTTGTGGTCGTTCAACTGTTTCTTTCTCTTTTCAAGTACTTAATACACATTTCAAAAGACTGTTGTTTACACGAGTGGCACACAATAAATCAAACCTTTTTTTTAATGTTTTATCCCCTATCTGCATGGTACGCATAAAATAGGATAATCAAGTTTACATTCTCATATTGTGACGTTAATTACACCATTATTATATCAAGTTCTAAGTGATATCATCCAGTATTATTCAGACTAGAATTATTGACGTTCTATTTTATCATAAAAAATATTTTCATTAATATAGATTGACGTCGCAAATTGTAACATATGTATGATTACGAGGGTTGGGTGTGTGTGTGTGTGTGTTGTGCGCATGACTAATCTATTTATGTATTCGGTAAATATCTATCGCTTGATATGTGTCGTTTTAGTATAAAATCAAAGACAGTTTTCATTAAAACCAATTAATGCTGTTAGCGAGTAGCGTCTAAAATAAACTAAAGGAATAATGCATCAACGTATTTTTTGTGAGAGATAAGGACAGGGTTCACTCGATGGAAGGCGTCACCTTGCCAATGCGACTAGCGCGCGCAAATGATTAAAGTATATCTTTTACTTATTTGACAATGTTATATATACAGAAGTGGGTTTTGAACCTAAATTGCAAACGTAAAATGTATAACTATAAGACCACAACATTGCGTGTCCTTGAGAAGCGATCGTTGCCCGCACTTGACCTAATGCGTTCTCCGAATGTAACGATTTCGGTCCGTAAGGAAGTGTTTATTGAACGGATTCATTGCCCCATCTCAATTCGGTATACAATAAACGCCGTTCGCAGGATAACTCGAAGTAACAAAATCCAAGGTACGAGGAAAACTTCGATATTGCACTTTTTAGCACATTGCAGCCTTTAGATGGACCAATGATATGTAAATATATGTAGAAATACATAAAAACCTGCTAATTCTTCTTCTTCTTCTTCTAAACTTATCACCCGTTCTAAAATGACAAGTGAAACGCAAACGTCTCGCCAATGCCCTACGAATCCTTACTCAATATGCACACCTCTCTTTGAATATAATGAAACAAGTATCAAAGCCCACAGATAAAAATGACAAAAACGCGACATTTTCAAGTGCGGAAGAAAATTGACCTTCGCGCACGGTAGTAAGGAACTATGGAGTTTAAATTTATACTATTCCACAAATCTGATTTTGCTATTTAGGATAAAATATTCACGATCGGACGAGGTCGACGGAGGTTTGATATCGGAACCTCCTTGGTGCCTACGCTTCGCACCTCTTAATGACAAATAGTGCGATGGCTTTACTAAAATGCAGAACAATAAACGAGATTGCGAATGTGTTTGTACCCGAACGTTATTTTAAGAATATTGTGTAATAGAATGTGGATATTAGAAAAGTACACTACTACGTGATAGATACAGGTTTTGATATAAGCTTAGTTTAGCTATGACTTGTTTCGTGCATAGTACGAAGCATATGTGACACGACCGCGTCCGTGTTGAGAAAGGTCACGCATTTTCCTCCTTTTACGGGCGAGTTCCCTTGACATGACCTCTGACTATTTGCACATGAAGCTCAAATTAATTCGATACATAAGTACGCGAATATTTCAATAACGAATCATTGTAGATAATGTGTTTCCTCCGACGCAAAACGAAGGTTCGTAAACTTCAAATAAGAGTACACCATCCGTTCTTCACGGAGGAGGACAAACGAGCCTGGGGTTCATTAGATTAAAAGCTCCATAAAACATCTATACAAGATGCGGTGTCGGTGTATTTTGCCTTTGGAAAGAGCGCTTTACGGCTCCTTCATCATGTCCTGGTCGGACCGAAATATGCCTACCAGGCGAAGTCCTACATGTTTCAGAAAAATTCAAAATTGATTCTCGAAACATGTTGAACCTGATGGGAACATAGCCGTTCATCCACCGTTTGGTTAAGTGCAGTAAAATGTGGTTTAGATTTAAATCCGGTCACAATACAAACTTCCCTTCCCTTCGACAGATATTAATAGATAGCGGTTTACCTAAAAATAATTTGTACGTAGGCTGTGTAGCGAACATGATGTTTATATTTGATAACGATCGAATTTCGGCTTTTTCTACGTTTTTATCTGCAAAAAGTGGATTCGTTACATAATTGTTTAAAGCAGCAAAGATGGTAATAACGTGTTCGTTTAATATGGCGTATGTACTAGAACATTCTGTGCAGTTGGTAGTTCATAAACTTTTTACTGCGAAATCGCTCGTTTGGAAATTTTTACTCCTAATAATCATACCACCTGGTTGTAAGTAGATTGGTGGTCTAACATGTGTCATCATCAAGCATCCCGTTAGAAAAATGTTTACTAGGAGAGTTATATCTAATTATGGGGAATAATTCGTATTGAATTATTCTTGGTAGTTTACGCGAGTAAATGTGTTACTTAACAACCTTAAATATTTACTAACTTTAACCGTTTAAAACACGAAATTTATTAGTTTACCCGACCCGACGTTAAGGGTGCTTTAGTATTTAATGCTAGTATGTAATATTGCAGTACATCGAGAGGAAAAGCAAAACGCATAATTGACCCTCGTCGTCCATCAATCTTTTGCAAAATGTGACAGTTGAAGTTGAGAGGAAGTGGATCAGTTCCGCAAACTTTGAGGCTAACTGCACTGGCTCTATGTTTCTACGCGTGTATTTCGCAAGCATTTAAGTATTTATAACATTTATAGTAATGATCTAACAGTCAATTACATTTATTTATATAGATATTGAAATTAGCCATTGCCAGCAAAACGACTAAATATTGACAGATAGATTTCAATTATAGAGCAATCACACTATTTATCATAATAACTCTTAATTGAACGTGAGAAAAATAACAAAATGTAAGGAACACAACTCGATCAATTGTTATCGCTGCGATACTATTGTTGTCCGCAAGATATACAAACAAGATATATGAGATCGTTTGTTTTTCGTATGCGACGCGCATACAGTATGCAGCTACTCGGTGGATCCTTCAAACGGTAGAAAATCTCACAAAGAAAAAATTATTTGCAACAGTCATGATCGTGAGCCACGACGCGTCAGGCCGAAGTTAAAATAACTAACTAATATATTTCGCGTTTTAGACAGTTAAAATTAATCATTTAAATGTGTACTAATCGCTTAAACTACAAACATTATTTAAAGATTCCCTTATCGTTCAAGTAGCAGCCATTACTTTCTTATTAGATACTTCCCTGTCCAAGTAGAAATAACAGGTAAATGTACGCTTTGATTTCACTTTGAACCGAATAATGTCACTGCGGAAACTATGAGCCATCAATTATTTCGAATTATTCAATTATGAGGCTCATTATTGCGGTTTACCTGAACTGTAAACCCAGGAAAGTATATTGCCAATGGTTCAGCAAACAAATAATATTTTACTATTTTCACTTGTTTGAAGACTTTAAGAAAACCTTACCACGTCCCATCCAACAAAGCTCAACTAAGCTTGTGTATGAACGGTTCATCTGCCTTACACATATCTTTTGTACAGATCAGTTTTGTAATATCTTGTCACGAATACAGCTTCGTTCTACACGTTTTTACATACCTAAATCAATTAAAGTCGGGTTAACACAAAGTGATTCATGTAAAGCTATAGAAGTAAATACAGTGCAAGGATGTAAATGTATTCCCATTTGGAATATTTTATAACTAAATAATAAATATAAAACCTAATGAGGGTCGTCCTTAGCACATCTCAAATAATAGTATTAAGATAAGAGAGGTCAATGTCCAATTGTGTGCATTGAACAATAGATGAGTAGCGAACGCCGCCCACTTCACGAAAGACTTCAAAGGATTTAAGGCAATAAATAATACATTCGCGCAAGAACGTATGGGATTCCGATATACTATAATAAGATATATTTTTCCCTTCTTGAGTGTATTTGCAATTCAATAGTACGGTGATCTACTTGTATTTGCGCCAACGTCGATTCCCAGAAATAAATTCCCTAATTTCTTTTAGGTTTGGTTCATTTAAATCTCTTGGAATCCGAGATCGGATGATAAACTTCCAAGGGATTGTCTTAGTTGGTTACAATTAGTAATGTCTTGTTATAAATAAATTATTATTGTTGTATTTGTTGCAACTCATATATGTGTCTATCATCCGAAGTCTCAAGTACAGCGTACAGAGGTAAATGCCAATCGAGAAGCTACTAATGCGGAAACCTATGGGCTCAGAAATTATGCCCATTTAGCAATTAGCGAGCCGCGACGTCGCTTAACGTCATTCAATAGTCCTCAAAACAAGAAATAGCAGAATTAGGCTGTGGTCCGCTGTAAACGGTAGCCTACTATTAATCAGTGGTCGGTACGTCTCCCGCTTTTAGTCGAATTTGACATTAGATCTGCAAGTATTAACGTAACCGTGTACTAAACTTGTACGCGGCTACAATCTAAATCATCTATACAGACTGCATGTAAGAATAGGTGCATGCGCAATTCGATTCGCTCCAAAAGAAACAAACTCATTGAAATTATGTAGCTTCACTTCACCCGTGGAACTAATTTTGTCTTCTATTTCTGATACAGCTATAAAACCTGTAGTTTTTGTATAATTAAAATAACAATTTCGTAAACGTATGTAAAACCCCTGACGAAGAAGCACTTAAGACCTATATTCCTATCTACAAGCGTGTACCAACAAACAAACAATATACATTGGAACAAGATATTATACTTTATCTTTTACCTTGTCGTTTCTCAGACACGATATCATAATAGACATCATTATTTTCACTTCTAGTCGCTTGCGCTTGCGCTCACTCATGCTGTGCTTTTCACCTTCTTGTTCCTATATTTCTTTTTTCCTTAAATTCGCCACTTTCGCACACCGTTAACCACACCAAATATATAACAATGAACCACATCTGAATCATCCGTTCAAAGCCATATTGATTATGGGTTTCCTTTCATTACAAGACTTCAAGTGATTCTAAAACGACATTTTGAGGAAATTTGCTTGTAAGAAAATGTCTATGGAATATTGAATAATATAAGTAATTAATAATAACGGAGGGTTAGTTTTGACACAAAGTTTTATTTACATTTTTGAAATATGATAGTGCCCACCCCAGTTCTAATTTTGGATGCAAAACAACAACAAGGGAATGCGAAATGCAACTTGTACCTAGACTTCTATTAATATACTCGAAAGTGAACGTAGCGTGACATATGCGTGTTTTCGTTGAAGGATTTTCGTTCGTTACCAGTTTTTGTACATTGGTAAAATGAGTTGTCCAACATTCCGTTAAGTGCGGCAGGTTCTAGGTTTGAATACCATAAAAATATCAAACAGTTATCTGTTGAGCAGAAGAAACACGGTAGTCTGCTGTTACTTGCCTATAAATAATATAAAATGCTCTTCTGACTTTGCTCTTTCATAGCCTAATCGAAACGGTATGCCGGAAGGTACTATTATTATCTAAAATATTTTATACTTCACGTTATACATACTAAAAATACCTACATATCTCGGACACAAAGAAAATAATATTACAATGAATGTAATGACTTCCTCCATTCTGAGTTATTTACAGAAATAATATCAACTTTATGAAACAGAAGATTTTGGTGTGTGTAAAAAAAACGATATACAAAAAAAACGTCAGTACTTTTTACTTAAATCATAGGGATTCCTGCAATTAATCATGATATTTTGTTTAAAGAACTCATCAGATATGGCTAAGCTTATCTTTGAGTGTGTCTTATCTAAACATCTCGACAGATCCATTTGATAACGACATGTACATGATTAAGCTTATGCTACATAAGGCTCTTTATATAGTCATTAAGTAATTCATAAAATCCATTTCACTAATGGTTCATCGATGGAAATTTAAAGCATAAACAATTGGCAGCAATAGAACACTAGTTATAATGATGTCGTTAGGAGTTGTTTGTTAATTTGGTTACGGAGAAAAGGGTACACAAATGGATTTCAATAGACGAGATTGTTTACCCACTTGCGCCGGCGCAGTAAACTTGTAATCTCTGTTATACAACAATCGAGCGATTATCTCGCTATTAACATTTATTACCTTTCATTAAACCCATCCAACACGTGTCACTATCAAATGCCTACAATGTCATAGACATCGCAATATTTTCAGTATTTGCATAGCCTGTAATTGGATACGTTTACAAACGTAGGTAAATAAAAAATATTCAAAGCAAATATTTTTATCGCATTGCCAAGCGTTGATAAGATATTATGGGATCATGTTTTAATATTTTCATAATAATAAGAGAGGGGTGGATATTATTAATAGTAGAATAAGAGTCAAAGTGGCCAGCCCAAAGCGTACTAACTAGCTTCTATAAACCTCTTCGTTCTACATCTAGACATCTAGTCGCATGGAAATTTCGAGAAGTGCACTTATGTCTGTCCTTTAATTGTATCTGATACGACAACTCTAGCGTCTCTTTCAGCTTCACAACGTCAGAGAAGACATTTAAAATGAATTGCGTTGTCCTTCGATACGTAAAATTGCTAACGCTTGAGTTTGTTTCTAACTTAGTATTTTAATATAACTGAGTTTTAGAACCAAAACATAATATAGCTGAGTGCATGAAATGTCAACGGAAACTGACATTTATTTGGTAGAGCACAAGATCGGTATAAGGTCACGATAGAGGGTTCTAGTCCCGCCTGGTTAGTTCAACGACCAAATAAAATTATATTCACGTAACACACTCGCATAGCTTCGTTGCTATGCTGTTCTTAGGACGACAATCTAGAGGTGAACCTCACGTAGCGAGGTGGTCGTTATCGGGAGAAGATAGGTGGAAGCACGATTAGTTCAAGCGCCGAGAGGCCTACGCAGCGAGTGCCGCCGTGCTTCGTCACGTAGAACGCCGTAGCTGGGTGATCCAAACGGTTCGATCGACTGAACGGGTCTTATCACAACAATTGAATGCTGACAAGGCACGCTGAATAGAGTATCAATCGCTGCGTTTATTCAACTACTGTGTTTCGCAACCGCGGTGCACTAGTAACGAGCTAAATAATTAAATCGCGGTCCCGTCTATTTCTCGTCGTGAAAATTGTGAATTTTCCGCATATTACTTATGTATGAGCCGGTATCTCGTCGAGCGATAAGGTTGTTTAATTGTTAGTTAATTACTCGGTATACCCTAATTACATTCAATTACATTTTATATGGTAATTCGTACACTCATTAGGATACGTTCGGCGCGGGAGGACAGTTCGCGCGACGAAGACGTCCCGTTCGGAGGCTGCATAGGAAGTGATGACATATAGACTCGATTGAACAGAAGCAGAACGTCGGTGGCGGGCGGCGCGGCACGAACTACGACCGCATTGTTATAAAACTGGTGGTGTCGAAAAGTGTCGTTCAGTTGTGCTCGAGAGACGCAAGGTCAAGATCTGAGTCGGGCGGCGCGAGAGTTGCTGACCGCCGCACCACGCTCAGTTTGACAACAAACGGCGCCCACCACGTGCCGCGCTAAACATAATCAGTTTCCGCGGCTTCCGTCCGTGTGCTCTCACTCGTCTCGCAGCCTCGCTCCGAGATATTCCGTGCGTCGAACCTTGGACCATTACTTCAGTGCGCGAGAGAAAGCCGCCAAGTTGGGGGGCTCCTGCGAAACTATCTCCGAGTGAGTATCCCGGTTTATTCACACTCTATTTATCGCAATTCGTGCGCGGAACGATAAAAAACTTAAGTATGGACGTGTATTATGTCGATTTACACGCTGTAAAGTTAAATTATGTATTTAATCGATTTCAGTCGTGTTAGCGAGTTGGCATTCTTTGCGCCGGTCTCTAAATTAAATGATAAAGAGCTAACAATTATTTGTGATCGTTTCGTCTGGAATGTATGAATGTGATGGTCGTTCATGTTTACTATCCTTTGCCTAAAAGCAAACGAACTCGCTTCGGAGATGCGAGAAACGTGTAAGTTTCATATTGTGTGTTTAATTAGTTATCTATAAATTATTTGCAAAGATAAATCTAACATAGATAAGTTGCAGAGCACCTCTCTTCGGCGTGCTCGGGTTCTGGGCTTGCAAAGGCAATAGGACTACTCGCATTTCGTTTGAGAGTGACACGCGGCATTCGCAAATTAAATAACAATTATTTCATTACGTCTCACCAAACATTGGAAAGTTTCAAATGTCTTTGATGATAAGAGGACAGTTGTTACGAGAATTTATTTATTTGTCTATTTTAAATTTAATGTTCGCGGAATGATATTACATTCAATAGGTGACGTTCGATTTGATGTTTTAATGCATTTGCAAGAAGGCATGTTTGTATTTTGTTAAGGTTAAACTACAGAGCAATAGCACGGAACGCTATGAATGCCGGTTCAATTTTTGTTCGTTTCGTAAAATTTGTTGAATCTAAAATTATTTTTTTAGCATAAACTAAATATTTCTTAATATCAAAGTATGAAATTTGGCAATATAAAATGTAGAAAAAAATACGAATGGCATTAAGTACGATTAAAACGTCAGATGACATTATTTACAAACATTGCACTTCAATCGAGCCAGCTCACTATCACTTGTTATTTTGGTATACGAATATACAATACAATTGTTCGCTTACATTGTAGACTGGGCACAGACTAAATAATGTCTCTTGTGTAATATTGTCTTTACAGATCCGTCTAAATGTGCAAAATAATAATGTGGTTGGCAGTATAGCATAAGCCAAGAAATAATCATGTTCCCAATCAACAATAAGGTACAAATAAGTCAAGCGCGTGCGCCCAAGTCTCGCAGCATCTCAAGATACGAGTGATTGTGACGTCACTTACAGCCTTATCACAAATAATGCACGCTTCTTTAAACAATACAATTTATTGATTTAAAAATATATCCCACTTCAGCTTATCAACATTTCTATGCACATTACTTCAACGATTGTAATAAAATTTATTACTTGCGTAGTTCACTATGCAAAATAATTACATACTTTTCTACTTTACGTATTCTTCTATATATGCTATCAAATATCTATCGGAATAATGGAAAATATTTTAAGTACCTAAACGCCTAATAAACGATAGCAAGGGTTATTGAAATTTATACATTCCAGTTCTTTCAAGAACTCTGTCTTTAGTTGTCCTACTAAAATATATTATAAATCCAAGGGCACTTCGTTATATCTAAGTAAACGGTTACAACAATAAACGAGATACCAATTCCCCGTACAACTACATTATTATTTAGAGTATTTTAATGAAATAGTTTAATGGAAAAGCGTAAATATCAATTAGCAACGGACAGTTAGTCGTAATCACATTCGATACGACTGCACTTTATGACATCAACTTAGAAAAAGTCTTATATAACATAAAAAGTATAGAATTAACTTTGTGCAAAATAGTGGAGCGCTTAAGTGAAGAGGCTACGAGACGGCTGTAGGAGTTATCAGTGGCATATCAAGTTAAGGGCAACGATTATAAAAAATATAATCGATATTAATTACTGCTTTGACCTCGTGAGAGTGATACACCCGCATTTCTCGTTGAAAACAACGTGACAATATATGATGTACTTAACTCACAATCTGTTTTCATAGTAAATTTTCTAGCGAGGAAATCAAAGCCAAATAGGTACATAAATAAATACATGATTTGTGTGAATGTGTGAGTATTATTACAAATAGAAGGAGCTTAGTCTTCACTCTTTTTACCCTTTGCGATCCCTAAGAAGCGGTTTAACTAACCAACATCAGAATTCTATCCTTGGTTCAATTGATGTGACGACAATGAAGTTAATTTGAAATTGGTAAAATTGGACTTCCGTGCTTTTAAGACTCGTCGAATGAAAATTTACTAATTAATTGGAGTAAGGTTCACGGACCCCACATCAACGGGCTAAGTTAACGAACTTCATATTGATTATATTATTTTTTTTAGATTGAGGTTATGTAAATGCAGTAAAAAAACGAAATAAATTTGAAATTTATTTTCGCGCAGGTTCATCGTCTTACAACAAATTGATAGCTCAATTAATGTAGGCCACAATTGAACATCGCATAAAGTCGATAACAAATATATTATCTTTGCTATTGTAGCGTTGTGGCGTGGGGTCGATTCTTTAACGAACAACTTAAAGTAATGTGTTGTTAAAGTTCGTTTCTGTCTTATATCGTGCTTTTGTTTAAAATAATTTATCCTTTTATCAGGATAATTATGACAATCATTTAGCGGGTAATGGCGTAAAACTACTTGGGCGGGCGAAATACTTTGTGAGGCGATGCGCTTATATTATCTGTCGTGATAAATATAATATTATTTTATTAAGAACTATGAATAAATATCATGATTAACCTTTTTATGATTAAATTAAAAATATATTTTCTTTAGTTTTTATAACTAAATCCGATATGATTGTTTCAGGCGAGTGGCGGCTGCGCGCGCTGGTGAGCGCACCATGCTCGCTCGCATCAAAGGCTTCTGGAAGGTGTGTCGATATGGAGACCTCTACATGGTAAGTTTTTTCCTCTAGTTTTATTCAACTTGAAATGTAAAGCACGGAGTGTTGAATTGAGGCCATAGCAGATACAACAAAATCAGAGTGAGCACGAGCGCAGATCAACAAAGCACTTGAGCCAAATAAAAACTATGTCGATATTATTATTTGAATGTTTTCCGTAATACACGTCAGCGTTGATCTCAAAACTACATTTAGATTGCTTGTCTAGAACGAGATATTAAAAGAGTTCATACAAGTCATTGTTATTTATTCATATGCCGCGAAAACAAAGAAAATAAGAATCTACGAGAGTTCTATATCTAGTATGTATTAGAATTGTACTATGTATATGACATGACATTACTCGAAATACTGAATTGGTCAGTAACATTACATAATACTTTATATTACTGGGTACTTTAATAGACACTTCGTTTTAATTTAAAAATCGAAAATCGCCATCGTCAGCGTAGCAAGCAGAGAAACAGCACGGAACGCTGACGATGCTGGTTCAAGTCCTGCCCGAGTCGAAATTTATTTTCAATTTTTAAATTATATAGTGCCTTCTTGTGAAAAACATATAAAAAATAATTAAGTTTTCAAACACTTCGTTTTAAAATAAGCAATTTAGCTACGACGCCGTTATTGTAGACAGGCAGCAAAAACTATCTTAGTTACTTGAAAATGTATTTTGAACCGTTTTTAGGAGTAACATTACAATTGTTACGGCAATAAATTGTAACATGATACCAACGAAATTAACAAAATATTTATATTAAAAGCAAAGAGAATTAAAACCGTATATTTTTTCTATAATTGCCATTGTAGATAATGTACCCTAGCTTAGGCTAACATGTACAAGTAGGTACATAAAAAAAGATTAGGCATATGCAAACTTTTAATAATTGACCTATCTGTTAGTACAGAGTTTACAAACAATATTTTAATAACAGTATACAAATAATAAAGAGTTGGACTTCCGCGCGCATCCGTGGCGCTTGCGCATGCGTTCTCGGTTAAGCATTCTCTATCTTTGACTGCGCGGGATAAAGGTACTCTCACAGACGATACTTATAACACGCTATGAAATATAACCACTATAGTATAACAAAGGTAATATTTACTTCTTTCATAAAAGTACATACATCTTCTAAAGTTAAAACATAAATTAAAAAAAAAGACCGAAATGGACGAATTTTGGCTTCGTTAATAAAAAAACATTGCGAGAATTTTTCTCCTTCTTTATGAAAATTCTCGTTATCAAAAATTTGAAAGTGTATGATGACGGGAATAATTAAAGGTAGGATATAATATATATTTTATACTCGAAAACAATTTTGGATTATGTGCATATTATTATAATGTCGTGTATGTATATTAAAGTGTAGAGACGGCCTTAAACGGCCGCGGCTTCGTTATTGAACTTGACCCGCAAACTGCGAGTTACGTTCAATGTCGGATGGTGTACTCTACAAATATTTGACGATAATACGTGTTGTCTAGTCCCGTTTCACCAATTTGGGGCGTGGGAAAGACATATTAGTGCGTCCGTTTTCTGATCTATTTTATACGTTTTCTCAGCATTCGATGCTACGACTTGTACCATAAAATGGATGCATGGAAGTAAATTTATATGTATCTTAAGTAACGGTAACATACATTTAACAGTAATACACAATGTACTAATGTTAATTTAGGGATATTTTATAATTACATCTTGCTAAGGCAGGTTTTGTTATCAATACATATTGAAACAATTTACGTCACAATTACAGCGAAACTAGAGCAAAATAGATAAAATTCTTATGTCTGGCACCTTGAAATAATATCAATCATTAATTTTATTATAAAAACTAAAGAGCTTTTATGCATGGTATAATGACACCTTCACTTAGAAAAATATCAGTTAGTGGTATATTACCGTTATATAATTATCCATTAATGAATGGTATATTTCATGTTAACAAAGTAGTTTGTTAATTGACTAGTTAGCCGTTACAGATAACTCACTTCACTTGAATCCGAGCGCGTTTCATTTATTCTAATGGTAAGCCGCGAAATATTTTTGCAATACTTTTGAATATTGAATAATGACAGATATTGTTTTTCGCTTCTCTTCCTTTACGATGACTGAACCACAGACTCCTAATAAAGGATAGTTAATGGAGATAAACGGATAGTAATTGTTGCATAAGAGCGATTAGTTTCAGAGGTAAGAGAAGCTATTACGCGCCACGCTTCTCGATACCGCTAATTATCGCTATTACGTGACTTGCACAGGACGTCGACACTCTGAGACATTTATAAGTTTGATAAGCGCAATTGTTGTACCTGGGCGGTGATTAAGTTAATTTATGGAGGGGAGTTAAGTCAAAGTCGGAACACTCTCAACCACAATTGTCTTAAATTGTTTAACACGTTTGCACCTATTATAGATACTTTTAAAATACTGCGTTAAATAACAAATAAAAAATATTGTTTCGGTGGTTACCTACGTTTATTTATGAGCAAGATAATGAATACAAACGCAGTCGAACGACAAATAAAAATACGTCAGAATCTAGATCGATCGATGCTATTGCGACACATCAATACAAAATGCATGTTGTCTAAATTGTGTGAATTTAAATTAAAAAATTAGCGCCCTTTGCGATGTTATCGGCCACAGTTTATACGCGTTTAATTAATATGTTTACACAGTAAGAGAATACGTTCGCTGATATTGAACAGTCTGAGAGATACATTATGGACAACGTAATTGAGTTATGTAATTAATCATGGTGTAATACTGATGTTTGCAGAGAAACAGTTCACGGCAACTCTATTTATGGACTCGTTGGTTCAATGGTAGTTCGATTTCCATGCCTATTAAAAATGTTGAAGCCGACATTTTAAAATGCTACTTATAATTCTTCTGAAACGTCTAGCTGTCGCGATATTAAACGGTTATGCTAGGAGTATTGAAATTTCATCCGAGAGCGTTTTGATTTCACTTTGTGGATTTCCGAATATTCAACGCAGAAATAGATCATCAGCGCATTTTTCTAAAATGTTATAGAGCCGGCGTATTCACCGTCCGTCGAGTAAAAAAAAAAAGTCAACAAAAGTAACCAAACAAGCGTTTCTGCTCTGTTATGTCTATCTTAATTGTAATTTGTATATATATATATATATTTAATTGTCCATATTTTACCTCGCTGTTAAATTCAACTACTACGTCGTAAACTGACTAAATTGATTTTTAATATACGTCCCCTTATCAATTATGCTAATGAAAATGAAACCGTTATAGTTCGAGAACGAGCGCAATTATAAGGCTCCTCTCGATCCGAGCCAGTGTTACGTAAATGTCAATTGATGATAAATAATTGATGGATCGATTCGATCTATAATAAATATTGCTAGCGAGTGCGACATTATTAATAGGTACCGGAGCTTACTTGTACTTTGAAGGACCTTCTTAAAGAACATGTAACAATAGTTCAATAAATAGGTATTCCAATTTAAATAGAACACTTTTACTGCGCGAGTTTTTTAAGTCGCGAAATGTATTAGTTAACGCATTTACTATTTATTTTAACCATGACCGTTTCAGATGGGTTGCGATATTTTAAACAAAAAGGTCAAAGGCGTTTTTCGTATGCAACGCGCATATAGTATGCCGTAGTAGCACTCGGAGGACATAACGATCCTTCAAACGGTAGAAAAACTCACAAAGAAAAAATTTTTTGCAGAAGCCATGATCATACTTAGGTATTCCAATTTTAACAGGTTCATCAAAAAGCTGACGAGATCCAGGTAGGATATATAATTAAATGGATTAATATCGAATTAAAACAAAATCAATGAAAATGTTTCTACGTTAACGTGTAACAGCATAACTTGTGTATCTAAGTGAGAGTGAGAGAGAACTCCAGGAACAAAATATTTTCTAGTGTCACAATTGCTTAATATGCCGTCTCGAATGTCACTACTGTCACGGTTAAATATAATAAATAACCAGAAATGGAATCGACGTCATTAATGCTCGATATATATGGCCATACAAGATCAATTATTAGTTTTACAAGGTGGGTGATAGCTAAAATAACGTTACGCTAGTACTCAAACCTTGTAGCACAAGTAGATAATAGATAGGACGACGAGACATAGCAGAGCGAAGTGCAAAGTCGGTATCGGAAGCTTCATCATCTTGGATAACCATTGTTTACATTACTCGCCGCTGTCCGGTTAATGGTGATGGCACATAATCGCGAAGCGTTCCGGTACTTACACCACTTCATTGGACGTAAGCGGTCACGTTATATGAATCTGCACCCGTCAACCTAATCAGCGACATCATATTTAATAAATATATAAATTACCCATTTACACGCGCGAGCGATAAAATGAAAATTAACTCTCTGTGTGCGCAGTTCGATGTGTAGTACCCGATTTGCCGTCTTTTATTGTATCGTTCATAACCTAGGCCAAAAAGTCAGAGTAAAGTGTCAAATTGTCGATTCTAACCTAATATTTTCCACATCCGCAAGAGTATTGCGGCGTGCACTGAATAATATGGCTCGGAACCAAAAGCCCGCCCATTTCTGCCCAGTTACGTGCCATTACGTATAAAAGCCACGTGCTAGCGTAGCTCACGTTTTCGCTTTATTTTCGTGAAACGTAATAGAAAAAATATCTTGGCACACACCCCGACCGCGCTGCCAAAATACAATGTCAATGGTCTCTCTATTGAGATTCGGCCCTCGCCTATAAATATCACAACACTAAACACAAACATTGAAATTCTACTCGATTATGCGGATTTAGTAGCATACGACTTTCTTTGCGATCAGTTGTACAAAGTGTACCGGAATCTTTAGCTATTCTTATAATACGATAGTACGTAATAAATTCCTATCGATTCGTTTCATGTGTTGTAATTATGTTTTTAGAAGTATGTTGATGAAGTTTTTTTTTTAAATAACATTTTGTTTCTCCTCATAATCAGGCTTCCCAACTTTTCAGGTATTGGCCGCTTTGGCGGCCCAGTCCATCAATATATCGGTGGGCTTCTGCCAGGGCTTCTCGGCGGTGCTGCTGCCCCAGTACACGCACGAATATCCGCTAATTTCTTATGAACAGAGCTCATGGATAGGTAAGTTAAAACAAGGAAATATGTTACAATTTACACACTACATTATGATAAAAATGTTCTCATGGTCTTTCCTGAAAGTTTTCCTAATTATTTTTGTTACAGTAAGTATTGTGAAAAGTCCTTTCTCCCGGAAACTTTCTATCCTACTTACTACGAATATTTTAATTTTAGCAAGTCTGGGCGTGATCTCAAATCCCATCGGCGCATTGCTGGGTGGCATGATGGTCGACGCAGTGGGGCGAAAGCTACTGCTACAGTCTATAGTTCTACCCAACCTCGTGGGCTGGCTGGTCATTGCTTTCTCGGAGACTTACATTTTCCTCTGCGTGGGAAGGTTCATTACCGGATTTACCATCGGTGAGTAAAATCTTCAATAATTACCTAAATTTTAGCAAAAATGAAATATCCTATCCTTTAAAAAGCTCCTCTACAAGCACTTTATGTCACTTAATTACCCATCTTAATAAATTGTCACTATCTTTTAATATTTTTACGCAATCCTTATTTTAGTTTAGTTTCCTAGTAAGTTTTGAAATTGTATGTAAGTTTTATTTTGATAAGTTTAAGATTATATTTAACATTGTACATTTTGTTTCGCCCACCTTGCAATCTCTTCCCGTAAATTTTTTCTTTTCATTTGGGTTGCTGGAAGAGATGTCGTTAGCGATAAGGCCGCCCATGCACTCCATATTTAGTATATTTTAATTTTTTTAATTTTTTTTTGTGCAATAAAGTGTAAATAAATAAATAAATAAAAAATAAATAAAAATGAAATATAAAAAAATCAGTAAAGTTTTAAACATTGACTTCTTGGTTTACAGGTATGTCTACAGTGTCATACATTTACGTAGCGGAAATAACAACCGCAGAGAAGAGAGGCGTTCTAGGCGCGTTGGGACCCGGTCTCGTGTCGACGGGAATCTTCATAGTGTACGCGCTGGGCTCGTTCGTCCATTGGCGCAAAGTGGCCGCTATTTGCGCCGCCGTCTCGCTCCTCACGCCCTTCCTCATGTATTTCGTACCCGAGTCACCGCTGTGGCTCGCATCGAAAGGCCAAATGAAAGAGGCTTACAACGCCATGTTTTGGCTTCGGCAAAATAACAACACGGCACAGCAAGAGCTCATGGAGTTCACTAAGGATCGAAAAAACGATGAAACGCTCAGTGTACGGCAAAAGCTCGCCCTCTTCAAGCGCAAAAGTGTATTGAAGCCGTTCGCCTTGCTCATCATGTTCTTTTTGTTCCAAGAGATGTCCGGGATATACGTGATACTGTACTACGCGGTGGACTTCTTCAAGTCGGTCGGAACTAGTGTAAATGAGTTCACAGCGTCGATAATCGTCGGCGGAGTCCGCGTCTTTATGGGAGCGGTGGGAGCGTGTCTTATCAACAGCTTCAGAAGGAAAACGTTAGCCGCAACATCGGGCTTGTTACTGGGCGTAACTATGCTGGGTGCAGCAGTCTGCGATAGTTTAGAGGGACCACCGCTGCTAAAATTGGCCTGTGTGCTGTTGCACGTGTCATTTAGTATGGTGGGTTTCCTTCAATTACCGTGGATAATGTCCGGAGAGCTATACCCACAGGACATTCGAGGTGTGATGTCCGGTGCCACTTCGTGCTGCGCTTACGTACTCATCTTCTTCAACATAAAAACATACCCACAGCTAGAGTATTACGTTACGAGCAACGGAACTCTTTATCTTTTCGGCATCTGTGCCCTACTAGGGGCCGCCTACTGTTTCCTTTTCCTACCGGAGACAAAAGGAAAAAGTTTGACGGAAATTATGAGGCAATTCAACGAAGAGAAGCGAGAAGCGGATCCCGAACAAGGTTTTGACAAAAAGGAGCCGACCGAGAGCAAAACAGTCCAGAGACGGCACAGCGCCGGGGCTGCTGTCTCTCTCGACAAGAGCAGTAATTTGTTGGATGGCCAATGGTCTCGGAGCCAAGACAAGACAGTGGACTAATGCGAATAGCATACATTTTATAATTACTCAGTGCTTGGTGGCTGCGAATGACAAAACCTGAAACGATGCCATCTCGTTATGGTTTTCAATAATTTTTGTCTCAAGGTGGCATTGTTCGATATAAGTGCATTGTTCTTCACCTACGAAGAATGTTTTCGACTGGTATATATGTTGAGTTAGGTAATCGTATGTGATAATTGTATTTATGTGTTGATCAGTATTATGTAGGTACATGTAGGCGTGTCGTGGCACGATGGTCGGTGGCTACTTCAGTAGATCGACTGCAACATTCCATTGTGATAGTGATATTGTGTATTCAAAGTGACGTCATTTGTATATTACACTTTACTATTTTCTAGGTGTTATTAGCTAAGTACATTTTTATTTTTCGTACAAATGTTAATAGAAGTAGCTTTTGTATGTAAGGCGTGACTGTTGTTAATTTATAATCCTATTAAGGTACAATGTTTAAATTATGTTTATAATGTAACTGCTGTGATGAACATTACAAATAATAACATTTAAATATTAAAATAATAGTGTGTGAATCAAATACATAGTTGTTTTTATTGGGCGTTTCATTTTATTTTATTATTTAATCACTATCATTAAACAGTTTTCAATTCGATACAGAGTAGTTAAAAGTATAACACATGACAACAAGTGGTGTTTCTCTCAATTCGTCAAAACTGTACACGACAATGTCTGACCTCGCATGCAGATTGTATATAATAACACATAACAGTAGTTCATAGGTAAAGATCATAGGTTCTGTTAGGGATTACCTTTACGAAAGGTTCCTAACTTAGTTATGAACTGTTAAATATAGCTATGTATACATATTTTAAACTAAAAAGTTACAAGACTTACCCCCAAAACTGCCTATTTTTATCTAAATTTTAAATCAACTATACTAAATGTGGAAGTGTAATGTATCAAATAAATAAATAAATTGTACTGAAAAATACGCCATCTATCGAATATTTATGTAAAAGCGTCACAAAACATAGTGAGTTGTTACTCGAGTTCATTTTAGTTCTAGAGTCTTAACTAGATGGCGCGCTTCACGTGAAGTTAATACTGTCTCATTAATTCGTTATTCTCATATCTCACTTATTTATAGTGGTAACCATATGTTATAAACAATTCTTGCCTTAAAAAAATAGAAAAAAAAGCAATATCATTAAAATCGAATACGATAGTACTCCAAAGGAAGGAAGTGTTACTAGGTGGAAATAGGCAATTGACGAGCTGATAGAAATAATGGCTTTTCAATAAGAAGACAAAGTATATGACTACTTTAGAAGCACTGACCTGGTCTGTGGGATGCCATACTTAATGCCGACGCCGACACGAGGCAACGCTTTGATCACCTTCTTGACAGTAGCTTGGTCCGGAAACGCGAAGAATATGGAGGCTGGAATTCATAATAGCTTATTACCAAATGCCACTTAAATCAGACATCTTAATATTAGGTGGGTAAAGTGGCAAGAAAAATAAGGTTACTTACTTCTGCTAGCCAGGAACATCTCGATGGCAGTATTTTGTAGTAGATAGCGTCGCGAGAAGATGGCGCGGATCTCGCTGAAGTACCATTTTCCGTGTAGATGCTCGCAGTATTTCAGCACCTGAAAATATACAAGGTTTTTTTATGAAATATTCTTTATATAAGAAAACTTCGTCGATATCACTATACCAAAGGAAGTACTATCTCTAATCGGGTTAGTACTCAAAATCTAGTAGGTAAATTATTTTTAATTTAATTTAACTGAAGTCCGATGCTTCGAGTGCTTCGCAGCCGAAACCGTTAAAAACGATTTATTTAAACCGCTCAGTTTTAATCATTGTCGTTTTAAAATTATAATCTTACAGCCCTGACGTAAAACGCCAGTAATTATTAAATCACTACGAATCGTAAATTATAATTTATGACACGGAATAACTGCCCCACTACTGCCGCTGTTCTATAAATGAAACGTATCTATATTTAAAATAACGTCTTTATAATGGTGACATATTTTATGTTAATAGAATTATATGTAGCCGGAACGGTCGAGTGCCTAAAAATAAACTTTTATAGTGATGCGTTGAACGCCTCTTTAACTCAGTAGCGGACGCTCTGTTTCGATGTGCACTCAGCACGAGGGTATTGGTTCGAATCCTGATTAAGACTCAAACAATCGACAAAGGATGACCACATGATTAATGGTCACACATCAGGTGTGTGGACGCGACATCATCGCTAAATAAAAATCATAAGATTGGGCTTTTTCTGTTAATACGCATTGCGGATATTAGCAAACCGTTCATTGTTGAACTAAGCACAGATAATTAAATTTTGAACAATGGGCCACATGGCTTTTTCCCATAGTAACGTAAATTCGGCCTGGGCAAAGGAACAATTGGGGTGAGATTGTTTAGCGGATGCTCTTTTGTGGTTTAATAGCTGGTGAGAGTGCATTCCCGTCACACGCGGAGCAAATTACAACATTTTTAATACTAAGCATTATTTTTGTCAAACAAACATGCCTCACGACGGTATTGTTCAATGTATTGGTTCATATTTGTTATTGATGCATAGTTAATGTCTGTGTAGTTTACGCGACTAGTGCAAAGAAATATATTTACCACGGCTGATATAAAGCAACCGAAATGTTAAACTTAGCTTTATATTTTCCCCGTTTTAAACCGTTAAATTACATTATGTAAATGGTGCATAGTTATAAAATATCCATATTAAACGAATTTAAACGTTGCTGCTTGTTTCTGCGTTATTTGTTTGTAGTTTTCGGTACGGGATTAAAAAGACCATTCTATTTCAGGAAAGGATGTAGACTTATTCGGGAGCAATGTTTGAGAGAGAGTGGAGCGGCGCCGGGGACTTGTCTAGTCCAATTGCGCGGCAATTTGTCAACTCCGAGCCCCCTCCGACATGCGGCTGCACTCAGTCTCACGGGGAAGCTCCGAAATAAACTAAAGCTATAATTTCAAACACGTTTGTTTAAAAACTACGAATCTTGTAAGGCTATCTCTATCTGCATATTAATTAGGCATTACAGAAAATATTTAATACATCAAAACATATTTTTACTTATAAACATCGATAGAGTGATATACGATAACGTGGTCTCACGATCAAAGTTGCATCTACGTTAATATAGACGTGACGGCGTCAATGCTCAGACGTCTCTACGAGCAAGTCAAGGAGTAGGACTTTACCTCTGACATGTGTTTGGATCTCCGCGTATATAAATTCAGTTAGTTAGTTAATTACCCACTGTCTAAGTAGCAACCAAAAATTAGCATAAACATGTAAAACATGCTTGGAAACTGAACATTCCATTCCACGTCACCGCAGCCGTAAGATCCACGGATAAGAGAACTAGAAATCAATATGAATTATGTATGATCTATTAGCAAAACGCAAATTAGAATTTCACATTTAGCATATCTATCTTCGCGATCGGCACTTGGCATGGAAACTAAAAAATACGTTGTGCGCTTATAAGGGGATGGCCGCAGTAATTACTTAATAGAAACTGAATTATGAATTAATTTATTACAATTAGCAAGAAACTACTATCAATACATCATTCTACATATTTTTCTTGTGAATACTTTCACGTCATATTTCAAATCAGAATAGATTTCAGTAATTAATGAAAATAAATCTGACAGGACAAAAATGATATTATTCAAATGTACAAATTAATAGTAATTTTGAGCGAGCATAAAAACTTAAACTCCGATGACGATTTGTTCGATTCGTGTCTTATTTCGTCAAAATATTTCACGAGTCCAGTAACCGGATATGCAGACCGTACCAGGAGGTCGCAAGTTTTTGCCGATCGTCCCTAATGGGGGCACTTGTCACTGTGGAGGGCTTATTTATAGCCGCGATAACCATCGACCGCAGATACACCGCTGCGTACCTGGTACACGCGACCCGATTTCGCCGATGCGAGAGATAAATTTCGCACCTCGCTTTGGTATCTACAAATATACAGATACAGCTTTTAATCGCCTGTAACCCAATAGTTCTTTGTTCCAAATTTACCTCAAGAAATTCTCGCTAATCAGGTGTCGATCACGAATAGTCCATTTTGTTCATTCCACGTACGTCCGCGTTATGCAGTAGTTGCGCATGCACTTGAAACACGGCGTGTGATCCCGATCCCGGCTGGTCTGTTATTCTACGCATCGCCGTGCACCGATCAAATGAATCTTCTGGCGAACTAATCTCCGTGATTTACGTGCGAAGTTGTCGCGCATTGCGCATGTTAACGAGGATGACCACGACGTCAAACTCAAACAGAACTATCTAAATATTATAGAATATGGTATTTAAATAAAAAATCTATTTAGTTTTAAAAAACGACGCGAGCGGGACTTGAACACGTAATCAGCACCGGTACCTACAGCATGCCGTACTGCTACTCTAACCAATCGAGCTATGATGTCACTCGTGTTCAAAAACATATGACAAATACTAATAGATAATAGTATTAGTATTAGTATAGACATTGTATCCCTGTCTGTTTGTTGTTTTATCAATATGAACTTTCTACGCTTCTCGTGACAAGAATAGCTTCAGGTAACAATTACAAGGGGTTTATGGCAAAACTTAATATGATTTATGCACAAATCTGAACTGGCGCATAGGGCGGGCTACTGCACGTGTCATTTTCACACAATCTGCGCTCATCTCCGTACGGAAGAGAGTGGCGTGACTAAAAGGCATTAGCGGTAAGTGCTCGCTTCATGCGCCAGCCCTCCCGTACAGAACGCCCTGAGAACAGTTTAATTGACGACGAGTAGCGATATTGCTAATTGTCACGAAATTTTTAAATATCAACGATAGCTGCCCCTCCTCGACACTACTGCCTCAGCCACTGTGCTGTTTCGCATACAAACGTTTTATCAACAATAATGTACCCCAAACTGATAAGACTTCTGAAATTAAACGTAGTAGGCGTATTAAACTAAAACTGCTCTGCTTATACGAGAGGAGATACAGATTTAGCGTCAAAAATAGTTAAACTACTTACCGTAAATAAAATCGATCAGTTAAACGGACACAGAAATGTGTTCGCCCATTCCGCACAGAGGAAAACGGAATTTCACCTATTACGACTAATCGTAATTCCCACAACAGGCGATGAACTACGTGTTGTATCTGTTATCGGGGTCTATGGGTGTTCACTATCGTAAAGCGTGTTTGAACACCCCAGCTACGATGCAGGAGCCTGATGGCGCATTCATTAGTGTACTCTATCTATTCGAAACACTCTTTAATTCGTGAGAAAGAAATACTATGACTAGATAAATATTACATTAGTTGATATTTAAACGAAGAGTTGTAAAAATGTAATAAACTGTAAGCACAGTTAACATAGAAATTTGAAATGGCTAAGATAGATTTTAAATGAGACTTCACAATTTTATTCTTTCTAGATACAGATACCAATAGTTGAAATGCGAAATGATCGTTTTAAACGGTTAAGCCAAGCAAAAAGACGACAAAGGACGCACCTCGTCGTGTCGCGGCAACTAATCGCTAACGTCAGTCAGAGGAAGTTCCAATTAAATACACATACATCACGTCGGGACATTTTCCTAAACATAGACATTATTATAAACCCCGCTATTTCTGCTGTCGGGAGGACAAAATGAAAACGTTTCGTTTGTAGATTAGTTTTTGTCGCTTACAGAATGGTATTCACTTTTGTGTATAAATACATTTTTGGGTTTTGCTGAAATCAGTGCACAGCTGTGCTGCAATATATGCTGAAGCAAGTCTCTTTTGGCATCGCATTTCTTCAAATTATTTGTAATTATAATTATTTCCTCCAAGCATTGTTCTAAATTAATGCCAAATAAAGAGGAAATTCAGATATCTTTTGAATCATCGGTTCATTGATTCCAGAGATATATATGATTAACTGCTGTAGCTTGCCCGAAACTTAAAATAAGACTCAGCACTAGACTTAAGTACTAAGCCAAATAAAAGGGCACCCTCGACGATATTAAAGTTCCATGAAGTTATTCGATTCTAAATAAAGCGACAGAAGAGTGGAGTGTGGAGTCTCCATCGCGATCGTTATTCACGAGGACCGGATAATAAATTCCGTGTGATCGCGCTGCGCTCGCTATTTCGGGTCGCGACGCTTTTTTACCAGATTTGCTCGAATTTTAGGTTATATAAAAACTTTCCAATGTACGGTGTCCTAGCAGGAAGTCTAAGGTTCAGCGCAGCAAGGAAGCCCCTAAAGATGAATGTTTTCCACGTTTCTCATTTCCAGTAGCCGTGCCAGCACATCGTCTTATCGTCGTAGCGAAGTTATAGTTCCATTACGCATTCAAACGGACAACGTAATTAGTTTAGTTTTTGCAACTATTTTAAAGCAATAGATATACTCGCAGACAATTTTTGTAGGACCATAGTTAGGAATCAATCGCAATCTATATATATGAAATTTAGGAACTAAATCCGATAAGACAGCAGGTATACCACAAATGTCGAGGTGTCAACGAGGAAATATTTATGGAACAATTAAGTAGAGCGGTGTCGACTAGTGAAATGAGGATGACATTATTTCTCGCGCACTCCCGCGGGAGTTGAGCCCGAGCATATCCGGACATACGTTTGTGGATTAGAGATGACATACTTTATCTTTCTCTTCAATAGTTAGCTCACAATTTAGAAGTTGTAAATATATTTAAATAATTATACCAGAAATAGATTTTAAACGCAAGTTTAGTAAAATACAGTTACTAAAGTAACGACATTACACGATTGTGCTCATAGGTTTTACTAAACACTCAAAAATACTCACTTTCATGTACACACTAGGACTTCAAAGAAATCTCTAAATAAATCTGTATGATCCTTTTACAAGATAATTAAAAAGACATCGATGGTCATAATTTAAAACGCGACCCGCGCAATTAGCGCCCTCTACGCTTCATTACTCCGCTTGCATCGACCGCACATGCTATTGTTTAAGTTAATTAAACAATTCACCTGGAACGCCGCTGAGATTGAATTCAGATGACGAGAAGTTCCAATTGCGTTTTCGTAGTGACGACGTTAAAAATACCGAAGTTATGCGTTTTGTGTCTACTATTTGGCAGGCTCATGAGGAGGATATAGAGAAACAGGAGTAATGTATAGCAATAATCAACGAATCGCCTGTTCTATCCTAACTGCGTGCTATATGTTTATAACTTTTCTTAAATATCGTATTAACTTTAGCCTGGAATTCTGGATAATAAATGGGTGGTAAAAGTTAAATTCTGTGCTAGATACGAACTACTGTCCACACGTGTAGTAAAAACAAAATATGTGTATAGGTAAAATAAACTTACCTTACCTTATATGAGTTTACGTTACTGTTTCAATGTGTGAATGGGATTTCAGAATGTCTAAAGCCAAAAAAGGTCGACAGCGCATTTATGACTGGGGTATTTCAAATACCATCAAGTCACTTGTTTGTAATAAGGGTGTGAAAATTTCACAAACTTTACAGTTTAGGTCTTCGTTCAACAAGCTTGTTGTAATATAAGATTGTTTGTGCAATCAATGTGTTAAATTTTATGTGAATTCTTATTCTCCAAATTCTGCTTCAATGCCACTGGCTACACTAGCCTTAAAATAAAAAGAGGAACACAATCTTATCAGAAATTAGTAATTCAGCTGGTAATCGTGCTACTTCTATCTTTAGGCGGGCGTTAACTGCCGCATTCGATTAACATTTTATCGCTGAACCTATTAGTATGCTACTGAGAAATGCATTTTTTCTAGACAATAGCTTATTAGGGAACGAACTCTAGTCAATCGTTATTCTTCAAATACTATTCAAATAATGACTCTGAAGACGTCGGAGAGTCCTTTTTTCATCGTAAAATTTCATAATTCAAAAGCATGCAGTTTTTCATCTTTCTTCTTCTTATAAGAAGACGGATGCCTTAACGAAAATATAGAGATTATCCAAACGCGAAGTCGTTTAAGTTATGCCGCTAAAAATACAAACGCATTCAGCGAGACGAAACAAAGAAACTTATCTGCAATCTGCGATCTTTATAATAATTACACTCGACAGGACGTCTTCATCGCCTATATGCCACATTTCGAATATTACCGATCGGCAGAGGACGGGGCGCAGACGACAGTCGCCCTTCGGCGAAGGCCATACGGGTCAACATCCGGCGAACTAACTACTCCGACTGCTGATACTCGACAGATCTGCGTTCCGAATCCAATTACGATGCACAGAAATATCTTTGCATTGCAACAAAAAATCATTAGCGAAAAAAGAAACGTGTCGCGCAACCCTAATGCGTTACGAAGGAGCGCGTACTCGAAGTTGAGTTAAAATTCACGTCCGTCGTAATAGGGTTCACTTTTAATTAGCAAAGAGCAGTGAGCATGCGCAGCGCCGCGTCCAGGATCATTCCCCGAGAAGGCGGAGCCTCTCCCTCCCGGCGGGCGAACGGTGGGGGAAGACAGATGTGAGCGAGGGCTCATCTCTCATACTACACGATAGCGAATTCAATACACCATAAATATCACACGAAGCGGTTCGCGGCCGCTCTCCGTGCGCGTCACTTCGATACATTAACGAGCGGAGGTCGATGAAAATTCAACTCGTTTTTGTCTCGGCCATTCAGTCGTTAGACGGTGCGGCGAGTGACAGACGTACAAACAGCCGTTTTGTATTAATAATGCTCACAATTCGCGTTCAGATCGGTGACTCGTAAATTCGCGGAGAGTACCCATATGTTATCGCGAGCGAGATTTTAATAGTTTTGTCAGCTGAGCGTTTAGCTTCATACGTCTTTAATATTAAATATGGTTTCTATATTCAGCATCATAATGGATGTAATTTATTCGAAATGTGTACATTCTTTGAAATTGAAGAAAGAATGCGACCGAATGAATTAAACGTTGTCATTTCCAAAAGTTTATACCTACTTTTTGTTTATTCTAAGTACCTGATGTTAATTAAGTAACTAGATTAACTAGAATTAACATCTAGTTAATCTAGTTACTTAATTAACATCGCAGAACTATTTGAGTTTCGAACAAAAGACCCCTTCCGTAACAAATTACATCAAAGTCGGTTTATGCTTACTACAAACGGTCCTGTCAACTCTGTAGTATACAAGTTTTACACAGCTATACTTGGACAAAATTTTTAGGAGAGGCGAGGCAAAGTTTATGACATACTTACTTTGATGACTGACTGCCTTTTTGTGGCTAGGCAAGATTTTTAAGCATACCTATACTTTCTTCTCGTCATTATTATTTGTGGAAATGTTATGAATGTAGGTATATAAATAATTGCAATGAAACCTTTTTTTAAAACTATAAAAATGTATAACTTAGGTACTACAAAAATCTGACAAAATAGGTACCCACCTATGTGAAAAATTAAAAAATAGATACGTAAACTCTTGTTAATTAAATATTTATTATCTGTTGTGTTACTGTAGTAGATACCCACTTATTAACATACATTATTAGTATATGTAAATAATGCCATAGTAGTATAACTATCCCGCCATGTTATAGCATGCATGGTTTGTTTGACATTATCATGGAATGTGTCGAGACCCTCGAGGGAAGGCTTCGAGGGGAAGGGGCGTTACGGACGTCCGCCGGAAGTGGGCGAGGCTAGCGAGCCGCCATCTTGGCATACCGCGCAATATCTAACGACACCTAAGGGCCATTGGGCGCGAATCGTAACATTATTTTACTTTCACAAAATACAGCACTCGAATTCGGCGATCAATACTCTAGGTAGCAACTTCCAATGGAGATAAGTAGCGTCTGTGTCGCTTTTGTGCTTCATAGACGTTAAAAGCACGACACATTTATTCTTTTAACATTACTATTATGTATTTATTTTAGGCAATATTGTAACTTGACCACCGATTACAAAAAAAAGGCTTCGCTCGCATCATAAATATAAATTCCTATCAGATGCTAATCACTGAATAAAAGCGAAAAGTTGTAAAGTACAGGTATGTGCCAACTAGACTTTATAACGCTAATGGTTCTGATAAAGATTAGTCCCTTAATAGACAAAAATACCAAAGTTAAGTAGACTTCATTTAGTGAAGCATTGATACTATTTAAGCACTGGGATCGCGGCGGCACCGCGAAGACATCGCGTAAATCAAGCGATGGCGGGACATCCATCACGGCGCGACCCACCATCAATCGCTCCTGAAATAGCCATGCTCCTTCCAAACGGGCCTCGACAAAATCCTGCACGTAGCTTCTACCACCGCATAACGTATTCAGACCATGGGAATTGATAGTTAAAGGATTGCCTACTGCGAGTTATCGCATGGCTTTAGTCGAGTGAATGGAGTTTATTTATAAGTGATTCCGAATTGCAATCAAATAATTTTTACGCAACATTCATTAGATCACAATCAAGAAACGCAGTAAATACAATAAAACGTCAAATTTAGTAGTAGTAGGCTTACTATATTATTAAATTGGTTAGTGTTCTGTTTCACTTCTGAGAGTATATATATTACCTTGTTAAAGATAAAATCTGTTCTCTAAATTACATTGTTAACGCAGCAGAGCGCAAGTACTGTAGCAATCCGTTACTGCCTTCCTAATTAACCAGTCAGATTATCTTAAAAACAACACTATTTAAGTAGACAACAAATCCGTATGTTTAATTAGCGACAACACGATACTCATGAAGCATTTCGAGTTATGACACCGGTGCTAACATCGTTTTCAATTAACCTACGTCATTAAACGGCCGATAAAACGCCGACGGAAAAAATGTAGGCAGCGATAGAGGGAGCCTCGACGGGCTACCGAGTTAACGAGCGGCGCGGGGCGGGGCGAACGGATCGATACCCGGGCGGGCGCACCTCGCCTCGAGCTCTCTCTTTTCCCCGGCCACGCCCCGCCGGAGAGCGAGCGAGACGCGGCTACGACCATCTTATTCGCTAGGTCTCACCCCCTGGGCGGAACCTGCGCCTCGTCGAGCCGCCGGCGACGCACGAGATCGAAGCTCAGTGCATGTTGCGCGACGTGAGAGCGCGTACGGCGCGAACGATGCGGACCGAGTGAGCGCGACGCGAGCACGGCGGCGAGAATGCTGGTGCCCCCGGAAATGCTGGCGGCGCAGTCCAAGCTCGTGTACCAAATGAACAAGTACTACGGCGAACGCGTCGCCAGCCGCAAGGCGCAGATCGCCAAAACTATCCACGAGGTGTGCCGCATCGTGCAGGATGTCCTCAAAGAGGTCGAGCTCCAGGAGCCGCGCTTCATTTCCTCGCTGACCGACTATAACGGCCGCTTCGACGGCCTCGAGGTGGTCTCGCCCCACGAGTTCGAGATCATCATATACCTCAATCAGATGGGCGTGCTCAACTTCGTAGACGACGGCTCCCTGCCTGGGTGCGCCGTGCTCAAGCTGAGCGACGGCCGCAAGCGCTCCATGTCCCTGTGGGTCGAATTCATCACTGCGTCCGGTTACCTCTCGGCCCGGAAGATTCGGTCGCGATTCCAGACGCTCGTGGCGCAGGCCTGCGACAAGTGCTCCTACCGAGACTGCGTCAAAATGATCGCCGAGACCACGGAGGTGAAGCTGCGCATACGAGAGCGCTACGTGGTGCAAATCACTCCGGCTTTCAAGTGCGCCGGCCTGTGGCCCCGCTCCGCGGCGCACTGGCCCCTGCCCACCATCCCTTGGCCGCACCCCAACATAGTGGCCGAGGTAAAGACCGAGGGCTTCGACCTCCTGTCCAAGGAGTGCTTGACGCTTCAGGGCAAGAACTCGGCTATGGAAGGCGACGCATGGGTCCTCAGCTTCTTCGAAGCGGAAAATCGTCTACTTCAAGGCGGTTGTCGGCGAAAGTGCCTCAGCATTTTAAAAACGATTCGCGACAGACACCTCGAGTTGCCGGGAAACCCGGTGACGTGCTACCACATGAAGACGCTCTTGCTGTACGAGTGCGAGAAGCACCCGCGCGAGCCGGAGTGGGACGAGGCGGCTCTGGGCGACCGCATCAACGGCATCTTCCTGCAGTTGATCTCTTCGCTGCAATGTCGCCGATGCCCGCACTACTTCCTGCCGCACGTGGACCTCTTCAAAGGCAAGTCGCCCACCGCCATGGAGAATGCCGCCAAGCAGGTGTGGCGCCTCACGCGAGAGATGCTCACCAACTCGCGCGCCTTCGAGAAGCTCTGAAGTCTGAAGGAGCAGTGCGCAGTGTCTGTGTCGGGAGTGCGATGTGCGACTGCGCCTCGGCGCCATTCGAACAGAAGTTCCATGCAATATAGAGTAGTGTGCGAGTACGCGTCTCTAGTTCTCATTAGAGGAGCCGACTGTAAGTAGCCGTGATACTAATAGTTACTACTACTACTGATACTTTAGGTGTTTTTGAATATTATTTGTGATATAATTGTAAATAGCTTACTTGTTGTACAATTCTAGTGATATTTAATTTAAAATTAAATAAAAATCGTGTATTTATTTGACTGAAATCTATAAAGTAGGTTTAATATGAATATTATAATAATAAATAATTTAAAACTGAAATTTGTACTTGTTTAAATCAAATGAAAATCTAAAGATACAGCATACCCACAAAAAAACAAAATAATCAATCCTGATAGGAGAGAGACAAACCTGTAACCTATGTTTACATGTGTTATACCTATGTTTAATTAAAAAATCTAATACTTTATAGGTACTTATAATATTAGTCAAAATATTATACTTATTGAATTAACCAAATAACTCCTTTCAAAACTAGCTACCAAACACAACTTATTTTTCTAACGACTCACTCGTTGAATTCTTTTCTAGGTAAATAATAATATTTAACTTTTTCTAAAGACAATCAGAAATTGTCTCCTGAATTTTACTTTTGAATAAAAGAAACGATTACTCTAATAAGTTTTATAGGCTCGTTCCTATTTAGACTTTTACACTGCGAGAGAACAATTGGACATTGGCCTATGTCGAAATGCACTAGAAAATAGTTCTCTATAAAGATATCGTTTTGAATTCATTGCATTGTAAGTGCAATATTGTAAAGCTGTATTGAAAAACAGAGGTATGTAAAAGGAGCTGTGCTGTCTTCAGCCCACGTACCCACTTTGGTATCAGGTTACCTAGAGCCGTGTGTCTTGTGGTTTGATCGTGAAAAGTGGTCGTCGGTTAAGCAACATACACATTGCATTTTTCATTTACACAACATACAAACAGATTTGTGATTACTGCTAGACATATTACAATTTAATAAGGAGATATATATATAACCAATTGGCAAAAGAAACGCGATTATTTTTACTACAAACTCATAAATTGTAATATGAAAATGATAACAATTTATGAGTTTGACTCTAAACAAACAAAAATGATTGTATTCGAAATTATTTTAAAAACCAATAATCCAAATGGAGTAAAGCGCGTGTCGCGTGGAAGCTTGAAACAGATCAGCAATGAGTATAAGGCTTTATGCATGTGACCAGTGTAGCGACGTAGGTGTCTAAAATATTATATTACTCCCCGAACACGTTTTTACGGATTAATAAACAAAGATAATTTAGTATCAAATTTCAATACATTCCGATTATAATAATGCTTTATGAACCAACCTTTCAGATGCTTAAAGTAGCTAAATGACCAATTTAATAAGTTGTAAGATAAACACAGGAATGCAAATAATCAGTTAACTTTCGTTAACGAACTTCGTGCCGTCGGCAAGTAGGAATGTTTTACACAAATTTGTGGTATTCTCAGTATGTTTCCTATTCAAATTTCGATCGATTAGTCATTACCTCACATATTATTTTACCGCATTTAACTAATAAATCGTTTTTAAATGTAATTTAGTAGTATTTCAAACTAATAAAAATATAGACAAATTCGTCAATGTTTTGAAATATAATTTTATCTCATATTATAGACAAATGTATGCAGCACAATTGTAAATCAGTGTTAAGATATATCAAAAAGAAAAAATGTTGATAAAAGATTAGCGGAGAGGTCGTTGAAATGTTTTCCATACTTGAATCATAAAAAAATACATACCAAATAGTCCTTATGTGGGATAATAATTCATAAACGATAAACTTAAAGACTATTAACGATATTAAACGAGAATTAACTCCATTTTACTTGTATATTTACGTTTGAAGCAGTTAGACACCCTAACGGCTTCAAACGTGAATATATACAGTAAGTGAGGCCTATTCTGTGGGACAATCTGACTCTATTAAGCCACATTGTAAACAGAGACAAATATTTAGTCGTACGTTAGAAAAAAAAAATTGTTGTAGAACTGATTCTGATTTCTGGAATAAATTTAATGTCTCATTTTATTTTTACCCAAGTTTTGAGAGAACCGTTATATTTATCATGATTTTAAATGAAGAAAACAAAGTCGAAGGAGAAGAATTTCGCGCATGCACCGGCGGCCGTGTCGTAAAGCCGCCTACGGCTGCTTTTTATCCCGCATGCCTTACTGAACTAATTTATTGGCGATTTCGCTCAAAGCGGGCCCGAGCGAAACAAACACTTGCGACCGAATGCATTAACTGTCCCCTTAGCCTTAATGCGGTTTGCGGCATGTAGGCGATACACAATTTATTTCGACCGACACTCGGAAAGGAAATCCACTCGGCCGCTATCGGACGACACGACGAAGCCGAGGCGCATTGTGGCTTCACAGATTGCGCAAATGAACAGGGGAAGTTACTTTTTACTGTTAATCTTTGATAATCTATACTAATGTATGAAGCTAAAGATTTGGTTTGTTTGAACGCGTTAGTCTCACGCGTCAGTCGAAACCACTGGTTCTAATTATTATCATTTGTCTTAGTTAGAAAGCTTATTGACGAAGGCTTTAAACCTATAAAATATCACGCTGTGACTCAAAGGAGTGAAGAAACAGTAGTAAGTATGGCAGAAAAGGAGAAAATTATTAATAAGGCTTTAAGGGTTTTCATTACGTGCGCTGCGAAACGGTTCTAGATACCCTAGAAATATATATTATCTAAAAAAATCTGCGATAATATATGTCTATCTTTTAAGAAAATGACACTTTTAACGGTTTAAAATTATTTTTTTTTAAATTAAATTTCACTACAAATTATTTCAACTATGACCCGACTTTTTGGATGCTTTGCAGTAGTCGTGGTCACGGGGAGACTCCGCGGTTGCTGCTGCTGTTTGTGCTGTTCAATATTATTGTCGTATGTAAGAGCTACACAAATCAAATTGTGCTACAGCGTTTCACTTTCAACCCACAAGACTGAAACACAAAGAGGAAAAGACCGCAGAACTATGTTTAATTCCGACTGCAACAACGAAAGCTCGTGCCGGTTATCGAACGAGATCGGTTATCATTGAATTGAGGAACTTCACTATCACTTAAAGCAAACAGACGTTACGAGATATAAATAAGGATGGGCGGAGTGTAGTGCGCCGTAATGAATAGTAGCGTTTAGTGGGGGCGGTACTAAATAATGGTAAAATTACAGTGCACTTGATGGAAGAATGACACGCTTTTATCTGTATTTCTCACGACTTCTGGGGGACAGCGAAAATATATATACCGGTGACGAATTGTTGTATTTATCACAACAAAAACTTAAATTTCATTGCTCCCGGTGGGGTATTGCTCGAACATATTATTTTTTCCGCTATAGGATAGATATTTACTATTTTCCTAACTTCTGTGTACTCATTTTTGTTTCCCCGGGATTCGAACAAGTTTTGGTTTAAAATCTTGTGCTTTAGGCATTTCTAAGCGACACGGCGATGCACCCATTGAGCACTTGACGTAAGTAGTTTTAGTCATAATTGTGTTATTAATGTGTGTGTTCAGTTATAGTTATTACATTTAGCATGATTTGTGTATCTTATACAATTTTGCCAAGTTTAGCTTAATTGTAAGTCGGAGTAGTGAGTAGGCATATGTAAAACCCATGGTGCCCGAGTTAACATGTGGTTAAGTGTGAAGAACAAATCGAGCGGTTATCTAATCTCAACTGGTTAGCTTTAACGGCGAGAGGCCATAAACCCGGCTGCGGAGGAGGCACTCGTAATTGATCATTAAGTATCACTCAGTGATAAGAGCACGATATTTACGAACATATATATCGGCCATAAATTAACCCACTCGACCCTTATGCTGCCAATTACTTCATCAGCTTTTAGATAAAGCCTACACTTATGTTTCTACTCCCGGATTCTACGAAATTAGATCATAATGCTTATAATTGTGAAGTATAGAACGGTAGCAGTGCGTAAGGGTATACCTGTGAAACCACTTTCTAAGCACGCATTTAAAAATATTAAAACATTTATTGATGCTTCAGGCGGCTTCAAGCCTACTTACAACTCACAGGGTACGGCTGTATTTTCACCAACTAACTACTGTGTCGTCGTTTATGTTTGAAGGAATACAAGTGGTGTTAGGCAAATATACATATACGGTATTTTTACGGTTGAGTGTTTCATCAAGAAAATATCGAAATAAACTTTGTTTACGTAAAATGGTACCTATGTATGTGTAAAAAATAAATAGATTGATAAAATATTACTTACGACATATACTATATCACAAGTATAGAGACAAATAACTAGCGACAAGCAAATATTGAAATTCTATATTTGCGGGTTGTTCGCTCGTTGCAAATGCGCGTGCGCCGAGCGTTAGGCCGTGAGAAACCAATAAATACTTGAGTTTACGCTCGCCTCTACTAGGTATCTAGTTAGTGCAAGCGAAATGTTAACTTATTCGCAATAACACATCGTTACCTATATTCTACTTGCTTATTCACATTCTAAACTTCAATTTGTATTTCAATTTTCGAATCATAAAGTGAATTCAAAATGGCGTACACACCTATGTTACTCAAGGTGTATATAGATAAAATTGACGTAGCAACAAAGAGTGATGTTCGGCAAAGTGAGAACAAATTTAAATGTCTAGACGGACTAATGTATTCTAGTATTTGAAAAACAATGACTAGGCGCCAAATGCGAGCGGACAGATTCCTGAGTCTGAATATTTTTTATAATCCACTACACAATTTACCGTACAAGTTACAAATTCAGGTGTTGAAGTTCTTGTGTTATCGGCTGCCAAGTCTAATCAATTATCGATATTACTGATTTAGCAATAAGGATTTTATAAAGTATATTTTGTAAAGTTCAGGTAAAAACTACGTAATCGTATAAATATTTGAAATAATTTTCGTGCGCCTTCCACATTGTAAACTAATAACTGCCTCAATAATATTTCACGCTAGTTAAACAGAAAAAGAAGTATTCTTCTTGGGCTCGAACTATACAATTCCCAACAATATTTCGCATCGCTGAATAGAAACGATGAAATCAAGCGAATAATCCTATAACGAGAACGCAACAAGCTTACATATTCATTACCTTAGGCTCTGGTCTCCAATAAAAGACGAAAGCCTTACGATGCATCGAGATGATAATTATGAGGTTCTGTCGGTTGGTGATCAGAACGTGTCAGGCGTTCATAGGAGACCGCAGCCTAAGAGGCTTATTTCCCGAATGCACATGAATCAGTGAGAATTGTGACCATTTCGCGGCGATTTGCATGTAAGAAGCAATACTAACATGCGCACTGTATGGAAATCCGATATAATCGAACATCGATGGCGACGACGCTGAATAATTCATTGCACAAATTGTAATATTATACAAATGACATCAGTTTGTCGGGCGGAGGCTGCGCGAAACCGCGGCGGGTGCATAGGCCCTGACAGGCGTCTAATAGAGCTCTTTATGGCCGGTCGGCCTATGTTAAATAAACACCTGGTTTTGTGTTCTTTCGTGAGCTGTTTTAGGTGTTTTGATATTTTATCTGGTAACCGACGAATATATAAGTATTAAGCAAATAAATAATATATATCTTCATCAGACCTTTTACACCGCTAACGGACTCTGACCTGCTAAGTACATCCCTTTTCCATGATAGAGGAGCACAGACAAGCACTGGGTTCACTTAAGGCTAGGTAAAAACCCCCAGCCACATTACATCTAACTGAAATTCTCTATCGACCTACTTGGCTTTGGACATTTGGAAATCCACAGACTGAAACCGAAATGTGATAAAAACCGTCTTTAGTCTGTGGAACGTTATTCGTGACCTAATCTCAGAAAAAATATAAATTGACGTGAAAAGTTTTGGATGAGCCATACGATTGTTGCCATCACAACAACGAGCCCACTTTCTAGAAATAAAATACTTCTTGAATACTCTTTGCTTCCTGCTCCTAACAACGGTTGTCTTTGCATTAGAATTGGCGTCACGATCCTCAATATATTTATCATATTAAATATGAACGTGTAAGTATTTCCGCAACGGTACCGTCGTCGCCAAGTGGCGCCACCACGGATAGCATACTAACCGATTTATTATTATGTAAATAGAAATTATTGTTTGAATAAATTAGCCCGATACGCACTTTGGTCGAGTCGTTGTCTGTAGAACAATAGATATATTTAATTATTTACGATTAGAAAAATACAACGTATAGCTACGGATGAACAGGAAAATGATAAATATGCCTATATAGACTGGCTGACTACAATATAAGAATTCTATACTGGCAATATAATATATATAGGTAAATACATATACATATCTGATAAAACTTGGCCAATGTAGTCAATTACTAGACTTGTAATCGTATACTTTGGCTGAAACGCGATTTTATCTATATACTCGTATTATATACCTATCAAAAAAAGGAAATCTCAATTGATGTAGTGGAATAATTTTCAATGGATTTTCCTGTGCCCCATATGATAGTAAGATTTTATTGCAGGGATAATAAAAGGGAGATGAGCCCTCCAGGGCTAGAAATGATGCAGCGGCCGCGGCGGTCGGAACGTCGCGGTTTGATCATCGTCAGTCAAGCAGACACAACGCGCATCCGAGCGGGTAATGCAAGTCGACGCGCGACAGCGCATGCTGCGCAGTCCAAGTTACAGCGATTAGCGAGCTTCAAATAGAATGCATTTAACGGTTTGAAACGCGAAATATATCGGTTACCTTATTTTTAGTTTTTTTTTTACTACTCACTCACTTTTAAACCGTAAGTGTTTTATTTAAACGTGGACTAATCTCCGAAACTACAGTCAATAGTTGACTAGCGAGCTATTCGTTAGAAAGCGCTGGCAGGTATGTGAATATTACTTTATATCGATTGAATTTATTTGCTTACATTTTGATGAATAATAGTCTGCGAAGATAAAAACCCCAGACCTTTATGTATCCAAGCGGTGCCGTTACCTTAGTTCTGCCATAACTAGGACGCTGAAACATGTTTTTACAGTATATCTTATCATTAATAATACCTATCTAATAATACCTTCTGGGAATAGAGTTGGTTGAACTGGGACGACGTCCGTCATTGAACAATCGTTTGATTCTACATTCGGTCATCGAATGTGCTGATAGAAAAGTAAGACATAATTATTTTAGAATCGCTTAAAGTGTGGCCAAATAGGAAGACTATTCGTGCGTAAAACATTGAATATTTAGTAGACACAGCTTTACTATGCGAAGAGAGGTTTGTGCGTCGCTCAAATAATTTTTATAATAGGTATTCTCATAACAGATAATAATTGTTATTGTTGTATTCTTAATGTTAGTTTATTATAAAATCTTCTAATAACCATTTATCAGCTGTTGAGTTTTACAACCGAACAAAGGATTATTTTCTTATTATTTAATAGTATAGTATTCCTAGGTGGCATTATGGCATAGATTCAGATTTCTTTCCAAAAGTTTTATTCTATGAAACAAATAAAAACATAATAAACACAAAATATAATTACAGTTGGCAGCCCAGAGGTTATACATATGTAGTTGTTAAATTGTACAACACATTATGGAAAAAATATTTCGGTACATTGGAACCGGTCGCAAACCTTTTTGAAGTATTTCCCGCGCGATAAGCGAGGACATCCAAAAAGCATTTCTGTGTTACTTCCACGACGGAAAAATAAAAAACAATACGAACCCGCGTTGACGCAGACGACATTTTTAATATTGACGCAAAAAAGCATAGGCAAAATTATGATTTTATTTTAAGCCTGCGCTCGCTCGTATTCGTTTATGGAGTGTTTTGATAACGGCCCTCGCTATAACCTAAGGTTTGAACTATAATATTATGTCTTCGATAATTCTACGCCGTAGTTTTAAGGATCGTTAGAAGAAGATAGCAAACTATAAGAGCGCAGGTGGAAGAAAGACGCCTATATGCGTATGATGGACGGTCCAGGCGCGGACGGGTGACAGAGCGATAGCTCAACCCGCGCCACATACTTTCTCATCCCTTTATTTTTAAACTAGCATTTCGTTTTTATGCATGGCCAGTGTCTTTGGGGAGTATTGTCGTTTTTTTCTTAATAAAAAAGTGTTAAGTGGATGATTTATATAACGCGCTCTTCCTGTGTTCGGCGAACACTCGTGAGGAGGTAATTATTACCGAAGTGACCCCAAATGTGTCATGAGCAACGTTGAAATAATACATTAAATTAATTTAAGTTATAAAATATTCTGTTTTCGTTTATGGAAGTTGCTTTAAAAGTACATAATAACTCTGTGTTCTAACGATCCTATGATATTAGTCGATATATTAGGTAGGTAGGATATTTACGCTAAGAATCAAAGTAGGTATTTTCATTTTGAAATAAAAATTCTTACCAATTACCTAAGTTGGGCCCGTTACCTGCCAGATCGTGCCCATCATAGTAGGTACTAGGTACGTGTCCAGTATAGCAGTCAAATGTTCTGTTACATTCGTGAAATACTTTAACGATCATTAAAGGCTGTGTTCCTTCATTACACGGCGATGCATCGTTCGGTCGCGGCGGGCGGTAGGCGCCATGCGGCCACGGGTTCGACTCCCGACGCGCGACCTACTGCGCTCCCGCCTATCGGGCACTCGTAAATCTCTCACGATTCTATTTACTAATATTTCACTTTTTATCACATCTGAGAAATTAATTCTTGATTTATTGATTGGAGAATGACACGATAAAAAAATCTTTCTAGCAATAGGGTATGATGAACGATCACTAAATTGTCGAAAAAGTAATATTTTAAATAGTAGTACGTCTTCCTTAATGTTTTAATATTGACATTATAAACGCAATCATAAGCAAGATACTACCACTTCTTGTAAAGGCCATAATAACATTAGTATCATTTGCATGAAGAGGCACAACATGAGAGCCACTTGAGTCACTATTAAGAGCACTTAGGCGCGTGCCGCCCGCCCTTGTCATTTTTACCTTTCCTAGTATCCCAAAATCTCTATTATCGTAAATAGTATTGTGTACTCTACAAGATTAAACAATATTTACTTTAAATACTGTCATAGTTTACGCGAGTAGTACACATTTAAATAAAACACTTTAACGATTTAAAACTCGATATATTAGTTAAACTTATTTGAAAATGATTTTTAACTTCGGCCCGACGTTTCGGATGCTTTGCAGCAGTTGTCTCCCCTTACATTAAGTAATTCGAATCAATTCGCACAGGTGCAAAGACAGTATGACTTGAACAGGCGGTAAGTGAAAATTAAGTCAAAGCACTTCGTTAATTAAAAATTTAAATATGCATCTAGCTACACACATAATACCAATTACGCGTTACAAGCTCATAATAAAACTTCACCGGGAGCCGGTGTACGCGTTGTAATAAAGTAAGCGTCATAAAAGTTATCTCTACGCGCGTGTCCCACCGTGGCCGCCCGCGTTAACTGCCTACTTTACAACCGAATCTACAGGGCAAAGACTATGCACCTACCGAGTATTTTAAAACGCAAACTACAGACAATAGATACAAGATTTTAGTTTTAGGATAATTGAGAGTACGGAGATAGTACGGGTTAAATATACATTTCTATGTTAATGGGATCCTAACCGCTATTACAAAGATTCTAATATTGGTCCGCTGTCACAATTTCTAATTAATAATTTAAAAAAAATGCAATAATGTATACATTCCAAAAGAAGCAGGATGGTTCCGCATCCATACCGTTTTTTTTATGACAGAGGAAAGACAAGCTCACTTTATGAGAAGTGAAACAAGCCATATAACATCTCAACAAGATGCGCCGTCGCCCTATTTTTGGCTTTGAATATTCGGATATATCGTTCGTACGATATATATAATTGTTACCTAATTATGGCAACGCATTAAAATGTCGTTCACGGAACAAAACACGATATTGCCACATCGCAAGTGTCGTCGCGCCGAAGCCATTCCAGAATATCCAGATATAACTCAAATGTCAACATATAATAAAAACCATGAAGTCGTGATAGAGGCCACAGCTGATCTATACTAATATATAAATCTGAAGAGTTAGTTTGTTTGAACGCGCCAATCCCAGGAACGACTGATTCGAATAGAAAAATTGTATTCATTAGAATATTGTGGAAAAAACGGCGATAATTATTCATCTATATGGGTTTCCGTTGCGCAAGCTGGGAACACAGTCCAAGATACCCAAAAAATATACACTAAATAATGATTCTTCTTTAAATGATCGAAAAAATTGTCAGTGAATGTATGTCTATCTTATAATTTTAACTTGCACGAACGACGGGATGGGGAAGATAGCCATGGGTAATAGCTTAAATTTATAGATTTAAAATAGGAGGAGGTTTTCAAAAACAAATTGGATGCCCAAAATAACCATTCTTCGCGGACGAAATCGCTGACACAGCTAGTCATCAATATATAGAAGGAGAAATACAAGGAATAAAAAGTGAAGCAACTTAAACTTCGCTTATTCAATCTACGACACTTCTCCAGAGGGGATTGGGTAATGAAAATAAATGACAAGCACAACGCAGCAAGAAACCAAATTGAATATTCTATTTAAAGCCACGGGAGTAGCAAAAAAAATATAAAGTGCGAAATGATATAACTATGCAAACCTATTACTTGTAGTTGTTTTACTACAAGTAATAGGTTTACAAAACTAACCGACTGAGTCTACACTCTTAACATACATATATCTTGAGTAAAATAATGCAGTACATCTTATGTATATTTAATAACTGTGTAATGTGCGCCGACCTTTTGATACTAAACACGATAATTGAAATTTGTTTCTTGTTTTAAAGTCGTTTTTTTTAAATTGTAGAATACGAATTACTTAAAATGCAAATGGACTATGCCACCCGCGCCACTAATCAATTAAAACGACAAAACGCAGCTCAGTAATTTAAGTATAATGAAATACACGCATAGACAAACGAAATAAAGCTTTCGCCATCATCGGATAAAAATATACTTAATAATGTGAGACATTGAATTGATTGCACAAGTTCAAAGTGTCACTTAACAGTAGCTAAGTACGAGCCGCCCAAAAGTAATGTTGTTTATAATTTAGGAGCTGCCTAATGGAGGGATCGCATTAAACGCGCCCTAAACGGCCTATTTATAGACCAGGCCAGGTGTTCCTCTCCCGAACGAGCAATATCTTAATAGCAGAACACACTTTCCAGTATGCGAGCGCTTTAAAAATACGAGCAATTTCCTCATTTTACGAAGACGTCGCCTGCGTTGGTGCTTCATCTGATTAATTATGATTATCCCGTCATACCATCGGTGGTGTTCTAATGTTCGCGACATTCTGAAGGTTAGGTTGTTTTTAATTGAATTTCCGTGTTTTATTAAAATTAATGGCAGATTTTTCGATATCGTTAAATTTCCGACTACCATAAAAAGCAGATGGCTAGAATTATTTAAACTAGCGCGCATCTTATCGGGCAGATCTGTAAGTTTATTTTACATATTTGAAGCGAATGAAATATTTTAATTCTTAATATACAAAAATAAAGGAAATGATGCAGTTTGTGGAACCCTGAATAATGATGTGGACCCTTTGTGATTGGGTTTGTAAACAAATTAAATGTAATAAAACAAGAAAGCCGTTAACCCTTCGTGCAATCAAATTACACCCATATTCACCCTTCTACCTTTTATAATACCCTAGTACTTACTCTTTATGTTGTGATGGACTGTTTTTCACATTGCTTCAAGTGATATTCAATGCACTGATAATTTGTATCTTTTATATATATGACTACGTTTTTGGCCCATTACAAACAGTTTATTTATTCGTATTTTGTTTTTTATTAATTATCAAAGTATACAACTAGGTAATGAGAAATGTTTAAAATTTTCAAGTAATACCATTATTAATTGAGTTGCAAAAATTATGGTATTACGTACTTACATAAAAGCATGGTACTAACTCACCGTAAACTTATTTATCTGATGTTGTTCATGTTTGTTATTATAGATAAAGCGGAAATACGAAATTTGAAAATTGTATTTTTTTAATTTCAAGATAAGCAACCTGATGACGAACAGACAGGGAAATCTTAATAATACCATCTAAGGGTAAGGAACAATTTTATTTACTAAAACTAGTAATTAATACTACTACCAAACTAGTAATCTAAACCAAAAGCAATTTAGGTACGTCTTGCTCAGATTAGAGTGCAAGCAAAGAGTAATTCGGAAAGAAGCCCTTGAGATATAGTCCCGCGAGAGACGGACCTCTCTCGAACTATTTGTCTATTACCCAGGGTTGCAGCTTACTCTATAATAAATGTTTTATTTGAAAGAATTTTTTTTTTGTAATACAACATCAGAAAATTTTGACAAATCAAAACCTTTTTAAAGATCAAATGAGAATTGGTTAAAGGCATAAATTATATCCCTATTGATGGTTGTCTAATATTAAGGATGAGATGACATTCGATGGAAAGTAAGTAAACTTTAAAACATATATATTTTATAGTCATTAAGAGCAGACCTAATACGCTTAAATAAGATAATGGTTTAAGTGCTAGCCCTATACAACAAGTCCCCGTCACAGCAAAGAGCACAAGCAGTGTTTTGACTCCAACGCTTCCCGCCTATAAATCACAAGCCTAATGTATCGCAACGAGGAGCATCCAGCTTGTCCTCCAAAAGTATGCCATAAACAATTTACCACAAAGACGAGTTTTCTTTGAATTCGCTATAGACCGAATTTCGTCCGACACAGAGCAATCCAATATTTGCAACTCTATTATTTAGAGGTTTAGACGCATTTTCCAACAGATTCGGGGAGCAATTTTATACAAAATTACCGAGTACAATGTTGTTGTACCGTCTTGTTTCGTATTGGTTTAAAATAAAAGTGAAAATAGCTACTGAACAGTACGAGGAAGTGGCAAGTTAAGTTGGCTAAGCTTCAATCCACATGAAAGCTTTTGGATTAGTGTTTGATGACATCATTATTTTTCAAATGGTGATCGTATTACAATTCTTCGTGTTTAGGGACAAAATTTTTTTCTATATTTTTCTTAATATTAGCGAAGATTTATTATGCGACATGCAATTTTTAGATTACTTGGAGGATAAATTAATTTTTACCTTCTTGCAAGATATTTATGATATAATATTCTATTTGTATCTTTAAAAAAGCTGTAAAATTAAAGAGATGACAAATTAACTTAAGAGCATAGGTATATAATATAGTTTTAAGTGCATTGCAGCTTCTTTCATATTCTCATTAATATTATTCGTTATGGTAATGTAAATTACCATTGCTATAAATATAACACAAAATTAAATAAACTGTGGGGACCTCTAATTTTCTAGAGACATACATCCACCCTTATTTCAATTTTCCACACCAGCGCACACTGTTGTGCTGAGATTGAACTCTACGAGAGAAAACATTAGGGCTCACAGATGTTCTGTAAATTATTATTTGATAGACAATCACTGGATACTTGATTCCGTAGTTAGTAAGTATATATTTTTTTTAAATACACATATTACATGCTCACTATTTTTTCAAATGTAATATGTATATAGTTTAGGACACGAACTGGGGAAGCTCATAGGTATTCTATTTTCCGCGGTAAATCATTTATACGTACAAACTCTCTTTTGTATGTGGAGAAGAGTTTTATTTTTACTTGGCAAAATCTCTTGTGAATTATTTAGTGAACATTGGGGTTAGGGCTGTAATCCAGGCTCTAGGGACCCGTAATACGAGACCGATGGACAAATAGATACATTTGTACACAAATAGTAATATGTTACAAGCTTTGAGCTTCAATGTGGGGTGGGGTCAAATCAATCATTATTTTTATAAGGAATTCTTAATTCTTATTAAAACTTTAAACTTGCAATATTTGTTTAAGTTATTATCATTTACGGCAGGATACAGGTAAATAGCATTGCAATTACGCCCGACGTCGCACTGCGCACGGTGTCAAACGCTTATGAGGAATCAAGTTTCACGGCGATAACTTAGGCGAGTTTATTTAAATTCCATACAGCATGAGCCCATAGCGTAAAGGTCACATTTTCTCGATGAGCTCTGGGTAAAATTAAAACGAATATTGCCCGTTGATTATCTATTAACGACAGAATTTCCTTCGTTAGTCGTATCGGTCGATCTCTCGCAGGGCATAGCGTGTATGTAAATAAAGGCTATGTTATAAGGATTCTCATATACGTACGTCCAGTCGGCGATCAGATGTAATCGGATCCGAGTTTGGCTATAAAATTACGTAAATTGAAGACATCATTTCAACGTCACTTACCTGAAACAAAAAGATAAATATATGAATACACAGAAATGCATATTTTATCTATTAAGTCGGCCACAACACTGTCTTTTATTTAGTAGGTATCTATAGTTTGAGCTAGAAAGCATTCGAAATATCGGGTCGTTAAAAGTTAAACAAATAAAAAAATAATTAACGTTAAAAAAAAGTTTTATTCGCATTGTCGAAAGGTTAATGTGTCATATATACTTTGTCGACATTAGAGATAATATGTTATTTCGTTTCCCAGTTTGGTGTTAAACGGCTAAAAGTAAGTTAATTTGTAAACAAATTTATGTCATCCGCGCATTTGTAAACGACGCGACGCACAAACTTTATGAGCGTTTTATGTGGACGTTGATGTACAGTTGTGTCACATATTATATATGTCTCCGGTTTTGTCTCCTCGGCTTTCTCGCGGTTAATTACCCGGCATAAAAATACCTCTATTTCTGAATTAACGATGGTATTAATCCAATTTGATATTATTAAAAGATGTGCGTTTTTTGTTCCTACCTGGCGTGGGTGGCATCGGATAGGTAAATGATCTTCGCCTTCGAAATTGATGACTTACGAAATCGGCGGTCATTATTAACGTTCGATGTAAAAATTAACTTGTATAACACGATCGAATATAGAAACGACTTAATCATTTATTTTAATAAACACGGCCGTAAGAAACATGTCGAATGATTATTCTAGTTATGTTCGAAATGAACATAAAACTAACAAAGTAAGATTCACAGAACTGCGATAAGCGACTCTCATCGCTTCATATTCTAAACGTTTCGGACGGACATAAACAAAATCAACAGTCGGCACGAACCTTCCGCCGCCGGATCATCCACGAAGCCGTGACACGGCTCACCGCTAACAAAAAACGACTAAAGGGAAGAACGCATAAATATATCAAATCGAAAACAATAGGAGACATCGAGATAGCGCATAACACGCAGACGACTCACATATTTCAAAAATGGGTATATACAAAAAACGATTCAAAAAACGCAACACGATAAAGCTAACGTCGAAAAAAATACGTGATGGGCATTAATTAAAACGGAGCCACGACCGATCCAGAAAAACAAAGAGCTTAAACAAACCTTCGCAGTGGGAGCCGCAATGATCATCATCTCGCATCACCAGAGCCGCGGGAGAAGGCCGCACGAAAAGCGACTCTAGTGCACCGCAATAAGAACGCCGGACGAGTTGCGGTCGTGAAGGACGTCCGCTGTTTGTTTGTCACCGTTGTTTTAATGGCATTACGACGGGAAGGGTTATCTGCGAGGTCCGATCTCACCTCAGGTACGGAACAAGATTGATCGGAGTCGACCCGACAGCTTTATGCTCGGATCTCGGGTGTCGTCGACTCGTACTTTATTAAATTAGTGATATCGATCAACCGCTCGAAACTGTTAAGGTGCTGTCCTCAAAATTATATTTTATACCTTATGCATGAAGGAGACAGCGGTATTGTACCTAAGATGTACGAAAGTTAAGTTAATTGGTGACAAATTAATAGCCAATATTAGTTCATATAAAAGCTACAAAAAGTAGAATACAACAAACAAATTATGAAACTCGGTTAGAGGCATCGAACGACAAAGCTTGTCAACACAATATCGTTGCACAATGAATGATGGTCGGGCGGGGCAAGGCGGAGCGGTCGCAGCCGGATTAGTACACAGATTGACATGTAAACACTCAGGGCCCTATTCAATAACACAACTATTGGCGAGACCACTTAAAGTACTGTTGACTGCATAAATTAGCACATTATTGATTTACTAAGACTTAATATTAAAATATTATGTTTTTCACTCCGCGAAGAAAATCTATATATGTATATGTATTGAACCATTTCTTTTTTTAATCTAAAAAAGCAAGATTTGAAGAAAATTGCATGCCCATCTTTATCGCGTAGATATGACAATAGGAATGAAACAAAAAATTTAGATCGTTACACGTCAGTCTCGTCGCCGTCTAAGGCCAGGTGCTCAACAAATCACTAAAAATCTCGACGCAAAAAGCGCAATAACATACAAACAGCACACAACGGAGATCATCCGATACGTCTCGATTATTCTGACACAATGCGATATAACATTACCGTACTCTCGACAATATGGCGGCGGCGAACAATACTCAATAGAGTTAAGAAGGGATTTAGATTCAAAAGCCTTAGCACGCTCTTTGTTTCTCGACTGCTTTTATACAATTCGGATCTGGGGTAACCCGCTGAGGCGTGGTGCGATTGAGGCAGATTCGCCGTTTCAAATGCACTTCTTAGTGTTGCTATTTGGGTACAGCGTTATTGGTATTTTTCCGCACTGACAAAATTAGATTAGTAATTAATTGTAGTATCTGTAGTTTACGCGAGTAGTACACATTAAAAAAAACGCTTTTTTAAACGTTTAAATCGCGAAGTATATACTCAACTTAGTTTAATCCGAAAATACAAAACGTAGGGTCGTAATTAATATGAATATATATATTTTTTTGCGTTAAAGCGTTGTTTTATTTAAACTGATTTAATTGGGATTTTTTGTTTTCATTTCGAGAATTGCTTAAAGTGACACCCCAACTTGCAAGGGCTTTATCGTATTTAGAAGGTTGTGTGCTGGGCAACGGGCGGTTCCTTTGTGCGAGTCCTCTATAGGCGTGTGATCGTAATACCGAGTAATGGGCACTTTTTACGCGACAAAAAGGCGGCGTAGCAGCGCGCTCTTATTTGAAAAAAAAAAAACATCAACAACTGAGATTGTAAAGTATAGGACTATATCAAATTAATTTTAATTCCTTTAATATTCCAATGACATTTACTTATTTAATTTATGTATATGTATACGTTATTTAATGTTCGAAAATAAAAAGCATGTTATTTTGGAAAGATTGCAAAATGTATCAACAAACATATTGTATAAAATTAATCAGAGAAATAAAAATTTTATCGCATCGTCTGTTATTTCATAAAAATGTTTCAACTTGCACGTGTACTATCGCCTTATATATTTTTTACTAAAAGATCTGGATATCTTGGATGAAATACGATCTTTTAGAAGAGCAGTGAAGTGGAAGTCAATCGTTTTGTGCCAAGCTCGAAACAACGTCGGCACAGGCGGACATCTAATCAAGATATCGGACAAGAGGTGGTCCAATACAAGAGAGCGCAAAGTCACTCAATCTTTTAAAATTACAATAAATAAAATATACAAATAATAGCATATAAATAGCATAATGTAAATGTACAGAATCGATAAAAAAGCATATCTTAGACACGCATAAAGATATATCACCCGCTACCGCTTATGACTTGATAAGTGCAAAGGTATCAGCGCAGCAGTAAATGCAAGCCAGCCATGCGCACGCGCGCAACAGACCCCACTTAATGTCGCCGGCGCCTGTCCCTTTGCTTCTAATAGAGCGGTGATGCTAATACTGGCACCACACTGCTATCTTGTCCACTATACGAATAAACAAAGCCTCTTTCTATTAGCAAAGATGTATGTCAAAATTATAGTAAAAAAGGTTTTAATTAACACTTAGCTATTAATTCGTTTTATGAGTAATTAATTAAAAGTAAAATTTCGCCGCCATTTCACAAGGTTTTTGAGCTGTTGCTGACGTTGTTTGATTGAGAATTTGTTGTTGTTATACTTATTAAAATATACGCGAAATGTATTAAAGCACCGAAAAAGCACGCATTTAATTATGAGAAAAAAACAGAACAACTAGAATCAGTGTTTCAAGGTTCGAACTAGTTTCTGGAAATAACCATAACGACGTCTTTAGTTATCTACGACCATGGTCGCCGTAAAGCATCCTAAAAAATTGGGTCGTTGTAAAAATGAAAAAAAAAAATTAAATAAAAATGGCACGCTGTTTTACAGCGATACCTGATCATGCGCATTAGTAAGAACAATTAGTAAAGTATCGAAATTTATTGGGGAGGCCAAATGAGTCGAACCGTAAATAAGAGAAAATATGTAGTTTAATTAAGGCGGGATGCAAGTAGCGGGGATCACGCAGGCCTCGCTGACCGGTCACCACCCGCTGAGCAGCCGTTTTATGCCTCTCCGATAAACACACAAACTGACAAACATGCACGATAATTACGCACTTGCAAGGATAATGGTCATTTGGAAGAGAAATTATGGCCTTTTTAAAATATTCTATATTCATGTGTTTGGTTCATTTCTGCTATGGACAGTTAAAGATATAACATGTTGAGTTAACAAGCCTACTAGTGAACTTACAAATATATACTACTATAATATTACTATGAATAGAACCTTATGTTTATAGTTCCATACATGTAAAAGTCAAAGTCAAAAATAAATTATTCATGTAGGTAACTCTATGTACACTTATGAACGCCAAAATCCCAAAATTAAAGAATCTAACTTTACATTTACTACCAGAGTGTATCTTACTCTAACTTTGACTGTATTATTAAGTTATATACATGTGATAGGCCACCTCTTTAGAACCTTTTTTATGTGATAAAGATTCATCGTCAGATGGTTGCAATGTGGTATTCTCTTCTCAAGCTGCTGACAGCTGGCGACGCTAAATCATCAGATCGTAATCCGGGGATTAGCGAGACTTACACAGATTTGCGGTTAGCCAGAAATCATGCCTCTTAATCTAACGTATAAAATTTAGATAATAGAATATAGGAAATTCTCACATTAATAAATACATTATTAGTACCTACAGTTCTCTTAGTATATAGTACCAGGAAATCATTATTTGGTTATCATGATACTTATTATTATATCTGTAAAAAACATAGCAGGCAAAGAGACAATCTACTAAATCTAGCACTACAGGTATTCGGATTTACAAGTGTTTACTTTCTTCACTTCAAGATTTCTTAAAGTGTATAATAGAGAAAATGTCGAACAACCTCGCTTGCGTTAGCCTGGCCTCTGAAGGGGCCACAGAATATCAGAGTTGGGACTTTAGTCCCAACGTAGCTGAGTGGCTTCCTTTTCGGAGGCAACTATTTTGGTGTATTTATTTAATATTTAATTAATTAGTATGTTTGTAGATTAAGTTTTAACTGTAAATGTTTATTTGTCGCTTGTGTGTCGTTTCTGACTTATTTCTATTCTAATATTAAAGGGGAAATTCTAATAATAATACGGGTCAATAACGCGGTCTATTGAAAACTTGTATATTTTTGACATGATATTATACTAAAAAACTATTTAGGTACATTTAAAAAGCATGACACGTGTCACGTGGTCTCCCCGTGACCACGGCTACTGCAAAGCATCCGAAACGTCGGGCCGCAGTTAAAAACATGTTTAACTGAAATATATCGCGTTTTTACGTTTAACAGTTAAAGTGTTTTATCTAAATTTATATTTTTAAATTAATATGACAGTATAATTACATAACTTGGTCAATTTAAGTGGTTACAATAAGAAATTAGCGAACTAACTGACCTACCCAGTTAAACTACCAAGTGAGCCCGGTGAATTTGTGCTATTGATGGTTTACAAAAAGTTGTTCTTGAAAATAAACAAAATCTGTAATTTCACGCTAGAATCCCGAGTCAGCGTGTCCGATGGAGGCACGCGACGCGGATGTCGCCACGTGACCGTCTAACGCGCCACTGACTAATTACTGATTTGCTCTTAATGCAGTCAACAAGTGTGATATTGTGTCACGGATTAGGAAAATAGGATTGAAGCTAACACAGAACTAAACTTGGTGGCTGGATTGATATGTAAGGTTTTTTTTAACGAGATTGTTGCTCTCGTTGGTGGTAATGCATGGCTCATAATCGTGCGATAAAGGTCGCGCAATCAATACCAACTGGGTCCAAGTTATTTCAAATCACTTTATAATTTTTCCGAGTTCGGATAATAAATGGGTGTAGAAATATTAAAATTCCGTCCTATTCCCGACATGAAACATTGTCCTTAGATGAAAAAGCCGTGAGATTTAATCGCATTTCCAACACATTTTTTTTTACTTTTATTGCATCGCATAAAGCTCACTCTCAAGCTCTAAACCTCAATGTACAAAAAAGCTTTGCTAAATGAAACAAAACGACAAGAATTCGGCGTGAAAACAAATTCGATAAAAATAGTCGTGTCGTGCGAGTTGAAACACAATTATCTAATGACAAACAACAATTGGTGACAGTGCATAATGCATCCTCGGGCCCAGAGGGAGGGCAACAAATGAAAACTAATGTCGCGAAGGGAGCGCGCCCGACCGGAAACAATTCCAATACAATCTCATTCGAAACACCCGCTCTCGTCTCTCGCGCAGAAGGCAAGTGCTGCTTTTGAGAACACCAATCTTTAAAAGTGGAGAAGATATTTTGCTAGCGGTTTTCGTTTGTTCTATCAATATCAGAAAATAACATGTAAAAACGGATCAAGAATTTTATGGAAGTTTAAAAGACACATTCCATATAGCAGTAAGACGAATAATGCATCACGAATCATCGATGCGTACGTAGGGATGTCCCTCTCGCAGTGGAATGGCGGAGTAATCAGGTTAGAAGCACGAGTAATCCAGTTAGAGCAGACCGGCTCATTAGCCCCGCACTAATCTAATTTCGATTTCATTACGCCACCCTCGAGAGCTTTCTCATTTTATTGTTGCCATTGATGAGATCCATGCTCCGGGATATCCAAATGCAATTTTATGTTTAATTCACTAAGATCAACACGACATTAGAATTACTGAAACAACCGATGTCTTTGGAATTGCGTGTAATTCACAAGATACTTCTAAATAAAACACTTTAACGGGTTAAAACGCGATATATTAGTTAAACTTATTTGAAAATGATTTTTAACTTCGGCCCGACGTTTCGGATGCTTTGTAGCAGCCGTGGCCACGGGGAGACTCAAATAAGTTTAACTAATATATCGCGTTTTCAACCGTTAAAGTGTTTTATTTAAATGTGTACTACTCGCGTAAACTATAGACAGTATTTAAGATACTTCTACTAAAGTAGTCGCTTAGCAGGCGAGGTCGATAAATAATGATAAAAAACAAAAAGGAGAGATATTTTTTAGACTCAAGGAAGAAATATTATATAATGGATTTGAACAAATACTCACAAAGAGTTATTTCGTATATGTAGATAAGCGAAATCTAAATGTTTTTTTCGCAGAGTCGACTTGCGCACATTCGGATCGTAAAGAATCACAATCCTGAAGTATACGGCGTCGTTATTAGACGTTATCATTTAAAATGCTTTTAAAATATCTCATCGGGCCCAGCATTATCACTTAGCAAATATTTCAAATGTCTTTTTATTTCTTTATATGGAGCATACCTGAAGGCATTTATTTTTCGTTTCATGGCGCGTGCCAGGGAGGGATTTTAATGCAACTTTTGTAATACCAATTTTGTGTATGGGTAATTTTGTTTTTCTAAGTACTTAACAATTGATACTTTATTAATATAGATTATCCCTTGATATAAAAAAAAATATTCTCTATTTGGCTACTGTATCAAAGAAAATTTTGATAATTGAATATTTCATAAAGCAATATTCATCAGAGTATTTTTATTATGTCTCTTGAATAAATAAATCAATAATTAAATCATTGCTCGTGCGTCGAATACACAAATTTAATATTTTGTAGTCTAGTAAGCATTCAAAATCGTTGTTTTTCTAGAGTCAAAATTTTAAGAGGAAGAAGATTTAGAATCCGGCCCCGCTCGCACGCAAACGCAGAGTGTGCGAGTCGGGCTGATTTATCAATCAATAAAGCGCAGCCCGCGGTGCCGTTCGCCGCTCGCGCAGCCTTTGAGGCACCGCCTCCATCGCTAAACAAACACGCCTGCGCTGAGACGCAATTAAACGCTAATATATGCCTTCCACCTTGTTCTCCTTAGCCTCCACTGGCAAAGCGTTTACAATGGTGATTGTCTTAATAATTTTATATATAACACTTGTTGAAGTGGCTTTTAACTACTACAAAAGGTTAACATCTTCATAAAGTTTACAAAATGGCTTAGAAACTCTCTATGTCAGTTTAACCACAATTTCAATTGAGTCAGTAACTGAGTCGATGCCTAAGTATGTTACATTTATTTATTCATTTGTCTGACAGTGTTTACATTCATATATGGATAACTCATACATTCATATTCATATAATAGATAATATATACTTTTTATAGTAACTGAGCCATGTTAAAATACTACGTTGATAAAGTCCCAATATAAAAGAGCAAGTAGGTATATTGCTTATGAATAATGATGCATGATTTATAGGAGCTATCAATTCCACGTATCCGAATGATCGCGAGAAAGACATATGGAAATGGCGCAGATTGATGAATACGATCTAAAATTTTTATCAATCATTGCTTCGTTACTAAAGAACTACTGTAGTATAACCAGAATAAGTTTACAATAAAAGTTAACGAAAATTATTAAATTAAATTGTGCCTTAAAAGCGGGAAATAATGAGCACCTCTTATGTAACACGAACTAAAAGACTTGACATCACAATTATAGGCACCACATATAACAAGTTAATTCCTTGATACAATGTGTGGTAAAAACTAATTGCGCGGTACATTTCGCGCAGACGACCTGCTCCGTGGAATCTTAATAACGAAGACTTGTAAAGTCGCGCGTCAAAGCTTCAAACCATGAGTAGAAAATCGCAAGGCATACCTACACATTATTTGATAACTAGCTGACCTGACAAACGTTTTTTTTATATATACAGGCCATATGCAGTATTTCGACGAAATTTCATTCCCATTGAAACGGTTCTAGTGAGTTAATCTTGGAAGATAGACGTATACTGTAGATTTTATTTAGATTATCTAAAAAAGAATAATTCCGTTACACATATTTTTGGGTATCTGGAACCGTGTTCGCAGGACCTGTAACGGAAACCCCTCAAAAACGAATAATTATATATATTATAGGCCTTCCTTGATAAATGGTCTAACTAACAAAAAGAAGAAGAATTTAAATAAAACACTTTAACGATTTAAAACGCGATATATTAGTTAAACTTATTTGAAAATTATTTTTAACTTCGATCCGACGTTACGGATGCTTTGCAGCAGCCGTGGTCACGGAGAGACTAAAGATGGAGGATGTCTCTGACGTCAAAGTAAAAAATTGCTACGCTAGCGTCATCTGTTCCGTCGAAGTTGGTATTTGGCGGACTCTGGACCCCAATAAACAGCACATCCTCCATCTTTAGTCTCCCCGTGCCCACGGCTGCTGCATCCGAAACGTCGGGACGAGGTTAAAAATAATTTTCAAATAAGTTTAACTAATATATCGCGTTTTAAACCGTTAAAGTGTTTTATTTAGATGTGTACTACTCGCGTGAACTATAGGCAGAAGAAGAATTTTTCAATTCCAACCAGCGGTTCCTGAGATTAGCGTTTCCAAACAAATAAACTCTTCAGCTCTATAATATTAGTATAGCTTAACAACACCAAAAAGCTTAATAATATACCCAACTATATATGGTAAGATTATATTAGTGTTATAAATTATACTATATTCAATTACTGTTGTGACCGGTATTGACGACTTTGTTATACAATTAAATTGAGGCAAACGGAAAAACACCTGTTCTGAATGTGCTCTCAATAAAGACATCAACTCGTTTCTTATTGAATATACTGCATTGTAAACATTATTTATTGTTCTACAAAACATAATCACTTATAATTACATTTGGTCGGAGAGTCTTCATGCCGACATCAAAAAGAAGTTATCGTTTGTATTAATTGCATTAATTATTATAAACATCTATCTATACTTTTAAGAGTCGGGACCTTAACATTTTCGTGGACAAAAAAGATGTCGACGGAATTTAAATAGTTCTGGAGTAAAAAACCCGATGATAGTGTATAAATCAGTTATCTTGTCGGCTGATCGGCTGTTTCAGCCGCTTGGAATTAAAACGTAGCGGTTTAGCGTTCGGTTAGTAGGTTTAGTTACCAGGGTCGCAGGGACGTAAGATGCTATCTCCGACACGATTTATGTTACGACCTAGCTCGCTGGTGTAGCGTGGTATGCATGTCACCTTACCTTCGCTTTTTATGTTGGAAATACCGAAATATTCTGATAGAAATCGAGAAGATACTGCCTGAAGAATCTTATATATACATTCCTTATAGTTGCATATCGTTTTATATGTGTAGGCTGTATTCAGAGGAATTCAACTCAGTGGGTAAGTTGAAGAGAGAGGCAACATGAACTCGGATTGATGATACCATGATAATTCAATATCTGACCGTTTGATCGATGGCGGTTCAGCAGCGAGCATAGAACGAGAGTGATATACGTTCAAATACGCCGCCCGGCACTGCATTAATCTTATTGGTACAGCAAAGTATGTAGGTCTAGCCAGTGCTTCCTACATATGTTTAGCTTATCAAGATAATAAAAATATATTTTGGAAAGATACATTGTTTGTTTATATGCGCTTACCTCAGGGACTACTGGTACCAATTGATTATTTACTGCTGGAACATTTACAAAAAAATGCTACAACATCATTCGGAGCGAAGAAACAGTGGATATTGTATAAAAACAGGTTAAATTATTTATATTCGGGGGGCTTCCGGTTCAAAAACCAAAAAAAATAAGCACGGAAGAATGATTTCTTTTTAATTAATCTAAAAAAGTCCGCGATGGTCATTTGATCTTGGTCAATTTGGTCGAAATTCATGCATTTTACAGATTATTTGTTTAGATTTGTTCAACATAACAACAAAACAACGTTTGCCCACATCAGTTTGTTTAAAATATAAACAGCCTGGTCCATTTGAAAGTGTCGATGGCAGCAGTGGTTCTCGCAAGTTTTTCCTGCGTCGGAAAGGGAGTGACGTTATGTATAAAACATTAGTCCAACATGTGTCCGACCGCGTCGCGACAATCGTACGACCAGACACTTTTTTATCTCAAACTAAAGGACGCATCTAGAATATTCTTCGAAAAAGCATGCTTTATTTTACAGATTTTATATGAAGGCCGATAAAAGCTCGGTGGCAGGTGTTAGTATAAATACTTAGAACGAATTTAATTATAGCCTCTGTTTAAAGAAGTAAGAGTTTAAGTTACGTACAATAAAGGAAGAAGTTATCAGAAAATAGGTCCATATAGATTGTACAATGTAGCATTTTTCAAAAGCATGAAAGCTTCCCTCAGTGAATAAAAAAAAACATTCAGCGTTGCGATGTCAGTGACGAGGTCAGATGAAGAGCTTCCCCCTCCCTTGTCCGGCCGGCATCCTGGGCAAGTAAAAGTGCGCAGCGCGTGACGGGCGCAGATTTACGACTCATTGTGTCCGCGATACATAGCTCGCGTGGAACCTACCAAAAAACGCGAATATATGCGACTAACGCTCCGCGCTTTTTGTCTCATTTCTTGTGAGATTTTGAGAGACCACTGTTGCTAATTGGCTAGTGTTGAGGAAATGGTATTATGCCATTTTATACACAACATACTAGTAGACCAATTTATTATTAAACGAGCCTCTGCTTCCCGGTACGACAATAGCTACCTTCTAGGCAAACATTGTTAAAATCGATCTAGCTGTCGAGTTCTTTAGAGGTTATGCGCAACGAAGTGCTGGAAAGGCCGATGAAAAATACGATTTTTTTTATCTGTATCCGAATATAAGTGGAACGTGCCAATACGCTAACGCTAAACAAAATCGAATCTAAATACATACACAAATAACAATCAAAGCGCGATCGCTGGGTCGTAAACATCGAGGCTTCGCAATGAGCCGCGCCGTTCGACGATAAATCAGGGGCGATCCGCGAGCATTGCGTGAGCGCTTTACTCAGGGCGCCATCATAATTACAATCAATAATGCCTCCAACTTTCCATAAAACACCGTGTACACACATATAACATATAACACTCATACGCGTTATAAACGAAGACTAAAGTCGACTCTGTAACGAAAAATTACCGGGATAACGCAATTGTTAATTTAAAAAAAAACACTTTAACAGTTATAGTTGTGTCCATTTAAGTACAAAGCGAAATAAAGGAACTTTCATCTTTTAAAGACCTAAGCCAAAACAAATTAATGTGTTTCCCGCGATTCAAATTTAAGACTACACCCGCTAAATGCAACACAAGGCGAATCATTAACGACTCAACCACGAAAGCGAAATGTTTATGCAATAAAGAAAAAGATATTAGACATTGGAAGTCTCAATTTCAATTTGTCTTACACCAAATGTAACTTACTTAGTCGTAATGGAGGTATTTATTCTTCCTAGTGGGGGCTCTCAAAATATAACTCGATCATTAAAATGCCACGATAAAGCAGATCAATGTTTGAGTAATTATGGAGAATTATTGCCACGGGTCAGAGGTGAGCTTTAGGCGGGCGGATGCTACGCAAGGAACGGGAGTCAACTCAGATTTAGACAAATTACCTACGTTCAATTACATTTGATGCATAGAAACGAAAACAGGAATATAACTATTTACAATATTCTAACAGCAGATAGCAGTGTCATTAAAAACTGTAAGTCCTATGCTGAAGTAGAAAAGTTATAGATGCACCAGAAGAGTTAACGGCTATATTCTACTATCGTATCCAAGGATTATCAACCGTTTTGTACCCTCTCTTTCTAGAACATCAACTCAATTCTCAAACCAAATAAAGAGCATTATTCTAATTTCTTTACCCCCCGCCTTCGACTACAAAATGCCATAAAACCGTCGCTAATTAACAAGCCACATCAATCAACTGTTTGTTTTACCTTTACGAGTTAAGGACACGGCTTTGTTATAGAATTATAAATCAATTTATCATTCTCTACTATGTGAGCGAATCAAATTAACTTGAATTCAACGGAGAGCCTCGCTGATAGTCACGCGAATGAGTC